AGCGACGCGGCGCTGCGCCGGCAGCTGAAGCAGCAGGGCACGTACGCGTGGTCCGACGACGAGCTGCTCAGCCTGCTGCGCAGGAGGGAGCAGATTCACGCGGCGGCCGCCGCGGCCGCGGGCGGCACGGATGCGGCGGACGACGCGGCGGACGACGGGGCGACGAAGGCGCCGCTCGGCTTCGCCGCCCGCGGACGGAAGGCCGGAGGGAGCGGCGGCGGTGAGGCCCCTCGCGATCGGCCGGCGCCACGGCGCCACGGTGCCATGGCGCGTGGTCGATCCTTGGGCGGCGTGGGGACGGTCCGGGGACGCTCCGGGGACAGTAGGGGACGGTAGGGGACGGTAGGGGATGGTCCGGTCGAGCCTCCCACGGCCATCCGCCGTGGCCTCCCCGCGTGCGTCGCCGGCTTGCTCGCTCAGACTGAGGCCGCAGGGCGGCACGGAGCCAGGCTCCCAATCCGGGTGTCCGACCCAACCCCGGCTACCCCGCCGGGCTGTCGGCGTCGCTGGTAGAGCGTGGTTTGAGCTATGGGAGAGGGGAGCCGGAACGCCCGGAGGAAATCCACGCAGAACGGGGGGAGAGAGAAGACACGGCACACTCATCCACGCACTCGCTCGCTCGCTCGCTCACACTCTTGCATTCCAGAAGAGTGTTTGTACACGTGGGAGTAACCCGTAGCCTTGGCAGGAGAGCATGCACGCGTGGGAGTGGAGGGCGCATGCACTGCGTGGGAGTGGAGGGCACTGGGTTAGCTGGGTTATCTTTCTGAATGTTTCAAACCCCATTTATTTACTTATTTATTCCAGACGGCTGGCCAGCTGGCGCGGCAGGTCGCGACGGGGAGGGAGAGATTTGCCTCTACCACCTCCTCTCCAAGTGCCACTACAAAGGTCGGTGTCGATTCACCGTCATCGCGGGCGGCCACGACCTGCGAGCGGCCGCTAACATCGTGAGCAGCCGGCGCGCGCGCCACGAGCGTGACGCTTCTCCGTGTCACGCGTGATGCAGAACGCTGCCTCAAGAGCCACGCGGCGCTGCCGTACCGGTGGCAGGAGCGCCCCCACGGTGGCGGCGCGTGGCAGGACCTGCCCGACCCCGAGGCGATGGAGCGGCACTACTGCGACCCGGCCAGCATCAGGTGCCGTCGTCCCCCGCCTCTCGCGAACGGCGCCGTGCCACGGTGCCGGGGGCCGTTGTCCGAAACGTCGCCGGATTATGTTTCTTGTACGTTCAAGGCCGCGCGGCGTTGTTGGCGAGCGCCGCGCCGAGTTTCGTCGCGTGAGGAGCCTTAACACGTCAACATGTAGACTACGTGTATATTTCGCGTCGTACGTAGCCAACCATGCTAATCGGACGTGTCGGGGAAGGACAACAAAAAGCACTTCAGAATAGGTGAACTCCTTTTTAGGTTTTATTTTTAAGCCGTTTTTGAATTGTTAGACGGATGGCGATCCCCTTTCAGCCAGTGGGGCCCGGCTATCGTACACGGGAGGCCGTGGAGCTCGGCTCGCAGACAGAGAGGCCACCAGGGTGCGGGGCACCACGAGCACTCACAGACAGAGAGGCCACCAGGGTGCGGGGCACCGCGAGCTCTCACAGACAGAGAGGCCACCAGGGTGCGGGGCACCGCGAGCACTCACAGACAGAGAGGCCACCAGGGTGCGGGGCACCGCGAGCTCTCACAGACAGAGAGGCCACCAGGGTGTGGGGCACCGCGAGCTCTCACAGACAGAGAGGCCACCAGGGTGTGGGGCACCACGAGCACTCACAGACAGAGAGGCCACCAGGGTGCGGGGCACCGCGAGCACTCACAGACAGAGAGGCCACCAGGGTGCGGGGCACCACGAGCACTCACAGACAGAGAGGCCACCAGGGTGCGGGGCACCGCGAGCGCTCACGCCGCGTCCGTCGCTCGGCGCGAGCCCCGAGGCACAGAGCGTCGGGCGGGCAGCGGCACAAATGGCGCCGTTATTGCAGCGAAAAGTCTCGAACGTCTCCGCGTCACTCCCCCACGTCCGCTGTGCGCAGCCACGACTCGGTGGACTTCATCCACATGAAGTCGGTGCACGGCACGGTGAGGCGCCTCTCGACGGCCAACGCCGTCGCCATGCCGGACAACTTCCTGCTGACCACGCGGTGGTCGTGGTACTGGCAGGAATGCGTCGGCACGTGGATCAAGTTCGGAGACGAGGTGGGTACAGCCGCCGCCCCTACCGCTACCACCACCGGCACCACCACCACCACCACCACCACTATCACCTCCACTGCCACCACCACCGGCACCACCATCACCACCACTATCACCTCCACAGTCGCCGCCCCCACCGCCACCACCACCGGCACCACCACCACCACTATCACCTCCACTGTCGCCACCACCGGCACCACCATCACCACCACCACCACCACCACTATCACCACTATCACCTCCACTGCCGCCACCGCCACTGCCACCACCACTATCACCTCCACAGCTGCCGCCCCCACCACCGCCGCCCCCACCACCACCGGCACCACCACCACCACTAGCACCTTCACTGCCGCCACTGCCAGCACCGCCACTGCCACCTGGCATCATACCTCTGGGCTAGATAAAATAAGTACCGCCTCGTTCAAAAGTCAACTGCGTTGTGCCCTATAGATGGGCACAAGTACACGGCGAGGGATGTAAACACAATCGAGCCGTAGAGCGAGTTCCTGCCGCTCGAGTGAGCATCGAGCCACCGGTGCTCATGTCCCTCGTGAAGCCCCGTCATAGGAACGTGGAATTTCCGCGGTCGCTGGCCATGCGGGGCTGTGCGAGGGAGACGGGCGCCGGTGGGAAGCTCGCTCCGACGGAGTTTGTCCTGCGCTGTGTCCATGCGCAGGCCACGACCAACGACAAGGCTAAGTCCAATGCCTCTTCGCTCGACCTGGAGAAGGCCTACCACGAGGACAAGGAGGGCTCCTTCAAGTTCACTGCCGGCCGCTTCTCGTACCGCCTCGACTTTAAAGGTTTGGTCGATTTTCTAATCCGGAGCAGTTCGTAACGACGTCAAATGTCGCCACCGCCGCACGGTGTCCGCTCATCGCTCGCAGCCAGAGCGAGAGAGGGGGGGGGGGGGGGCGGCTTAGGGTGGTGTGGCCACCTGGGAGCCACGTGGCTCAGGGGAGGCTTGAGCTGGTCTACAGAGAGACGTCTGTAGATGAGAGGGGAGCGACTCGGAGTGGGCTGCACATTTACTTACCAGACCCAGAATGTTATCCGTCATGAATGTTGCGAACCGTGTAAGTGGACAACGTTGTCATGTCAACACAATTGGGGAGCTCACGGCCACCAGCTCCAATGACGATTATCTGAACCGGTCCCGGGCCTCCTCCAGGGCGACTCGGCCTCAAATGAGCACCTGGTGCGGTGTGTAAACATCGCCACTAGGAGGGAGACAAAGGCGGCCGGGCATGGTGCTGTGTACCAGTGCCGACCTTAATAGGTGTTGCTCGTTAACAGCACTTGCCCCAACAGTGTGTGTAAGGGTATCCGGGGGATCTTTGTCTCTGTAAGCATGTGGAGGTGTTTACACTCGCGGCGCACTTGACCTGGGCGGTGCGTCTCGCGGCAGACATGACGCAGACCAACCTGGAGGTGGGCACGAAGAGGAGCGTGAGGAGGAGGCCGCTGCTCGTGACGGCGCGGGATGTGGAGGCGGCACGCGGGCGGTGAGCACTCGGCTCGCTCCGTCCATCCATCTGTCACTTAAACAAAACGAAGCTGTTATTGATTTATTTACCAGACAAAGTCCACCGAGCTGTATAGCTCTGTTTCCGGAACGACCCGGGCCACAAATGGCAGCTCAACGGCGTGGCTTATCATAGTGTGTGGACTTTATAGCGGCAGAAAAATACTCTGAACGCACGTCGATTCTAAATGCGGAGGGTTAAACCGGAGGACCCGGAGAAAGAGCCACGTGACCACCACGGGGAGAACACGCAAACTCAAGATACAGGGGGGTCCGGGTCGGGCTCGAACACACGACCTGCTGCATACCAGGCAAGGTAGTTAACATCTCATAGCCACTGGGGCGCTCGCGGTCGTTGCGCTCTGGCTATTTACGTGGTTTGACGTCGAGCTCGGGACCCTCGTCGACGTGGGCGCATTTCACGGACGTCTCCGTTCCCCCCCCCCGCGCGTGACACCTCCCCTCCCGCCAGGCATGGGAGCCTGCACCGGATCGGTGTGGGCAGCGCTCCGGCTCACTGGGACCGCGCCTCTCTCTCCGACGTCGACATCTCGGTAAACGCAAACGGCCTCCGCCGGCGAGCTGTGGAGTGCGGTGCCCACGCAGTGGCAACAGCCCCTCCCCTGTGTTCCCTTGTGCACGCCGGTACACGCGCACGCGTGCGTGCATTGTAAACAACGCTGGCCACCCACCCCCACGTGTGCCGTGCTGGCCTTCGTAGATGCTCGCTCAAGGTTATGTGGGGGGGATCTTTATCTTTGTTGTATCCATATGTGTGGGGAGCGGTGGCGCAGTGGTTAGCACGCTGCTCTAGCGATCCGGTGACGATCACCTGATCCGGCCCTGGGGGCCTAGCCACCGGCACAACAGCTGATGGCCACGAACCAGTCGTCATTAATGACCGTGGAGCACAGCTGCTGCGATCTTGGCAGACGAGGAGTTTGTCAAATAACCTCCGTTGTTGTCGTGCGCGTTGCCTCCCCCTCCAGCTTGTGGAGCTCGTGAACACGACGTCGGAGTACAACGAGGTGGCGACCCTGTTCAAGAACACGCTCGGTCAGCCCTCGATCAATATCCTCAACGTCAAGAGAGTCCAGAACCTGGAGTTGTGGGATGCTTTCCAGAGGTGACTTCTTCGAAGCTTGCGGGGTGTAAATTAAAAAAATACAATAAAAGGATTTGAAATCGAATTTTGGGTGGGATCGCCGCGAGTAAAATGCCACCGTGTGTCGTACGCCCTCCTCCACCCGACACGGCCAGTTAATAAAGTTGTCACGTGCCGAACGAACGAGCCAGCCGCTTCAGAGAGCCACTCGCGGTGCTGAAGAGCGTCCCGCTCACGGTTAACCACCGAGTTGTTAAACTGCCGGCCAGGAAGCGCGAGTGGATGCGCAAGAAGAACGGTGGCGTCGAGGTGGAGGAGCGGAAGCTGTTCCACGGCACGCGGCCCGAGCACGTGGTCCCCATCTGCCAGCAGAACATCGACTGGCGCTTGCGCGGAGCTCACGGAACACTCTTCGGCGAAGGTAGCGCTCTCCTGTCTCCAACGCACAGACTGCCGTACGGTTCTTGTACCACGCTGGTCTACAGAGTGAGAGTGAATGGAGTTTGTATGATCTCCCCCTGTTCTACAGAGTGAGTGAGTGGAGTTTGTGTGATCTCCCCCTGTTCTACAGTGAGAGTGGAGTTTGTATGATCTCCCCCTGTTCTACAGTGAGAGTGGAGTTTGTATGATCTCCCCCTGTTCTACAGTGAGAGTGGAGTTTGTATGATCTCCCCCTGTTCTGTAGAGAATGAGTGAGTGGAGGTTGTATTTCCTCTCTCTTGCCCCAGGGCTCCCCGGGTTCCCCCCAACACAGCCCCCTGCTCCCGACAGAGAGACCTCAGCGTGTGTGAGTCTCCCGCGTAAGCAACGTTCCGTTCCCATTGGGTGCCCTCCCCCACCCTCCACCCTCCTCTCTCGCAGGGAGCTATTTCGCACGCGACGCTTCCTACTCCCACACCTACTCCAACAAGGGCCGCAAGGGAACGGCCCCTGCCAGCGCGGCAATGTTCCTGGCCCGCGTGCTGGTGGGCCGCTACACTCGCGGCGTCGCCGGCTACATGTGGCCCCCCGCCATCAAAGCTTCCCCTTCGACGTCGGCTGGGCAGCCGGCCCCGGAGGTTTTCTACGACAGCTGCGTGAACACCGAGATCGATCCCAGCATCTTCGTGGTGTTTGAAAGAGACCAGATCTACCCAGAGTATGTTATCGAGTACCAGTTTTAGGGTTAGAGGAGGAACCCAGCTGGATGCGTCACGTTGAGGGGCCAAACGTCGCCATGGAAGCGGATAACCACCTTTGAACCAACGTTGGTTCAACGTAGACGTGTAACTGGAAAACGTTGGACCAATATTGGCCCGATGTAGGTGTATAACTGGAAACTGTTGGACCAACGTTCCGTGTGTATCGGGGGAAGGCAGCCTGTGCACCACGAGGCTGTGTTGACACGGGCCTGAGGAAACTGCTTTAAGGTCGTGATCCACTTGGGCAATTTCAGGCCAATCATTGCCGGCAATAGTCACCGACAGTGGTTGTCGCAGCAGCGTTTCCCACTGTAAAAGTCTAATCCCCCCCCCCGCTCCCTCAAAATGTGAATAACTCCGATTCCAGCTGCCCCCTCGTCAGCAACCGGGCGGCATCTCCCAATCAGATTGCAGACAGAGGTCACATGACTGCCTGACGAGTTACGCTGAAAAAAATGGTGGCTTCCCGTATGGGTGGGATCGAGATGGATGGACTAGACTTGACCCAACTCTATCAACTCGTGACTAGTACTGGGCCTTACCCCATCTCTAAGTAACTAGTGACTCATGATTGGTTTACAACTCTCTACAGCCACTTCTTTGACTGCGCAGAACTCTTGTCAAAACATCACGAAAAACACACATTGATTACGTCAGACACCGCACATTAATACAGTACGTTTCAGGTGACGTACGTGCTTTTAAAGGCATGACACAGGTACCCTTGTGTTTTGTTGAATATTTAGCAGTTAAGCTTGATTTATGCACTCTGAGGGCTTGAAGGGCTTTGATATGGAACACAGCTCGGCTCTGCCTTGTGCAAGGCTCCGAGTATCTTGCTCAGAGATTAACACTCTTACATCATCACTTGACACGTGGTGTTCACACAATCTGTTTTCGAAATAACGCGGTTCTTCCATTAGGGAACGCAACGCAGTGCAGGTTCATTAATTATAATTTCATTTGATTTTCGCGTAATTCATGCTAATTTCCAATGCTGTACGTAATATATAAGTGTAGTAGGCGCCCATTTTAACATGTAACGTGCCTATCATGACACGATAGGCACTTGTTTTTACACGATAGGCGCCCGTTATAACACGGGACTGCTCACAGAGTGCTTCGCTCGCAACGGACGACGAGTCGGCACGTGATCTCGAGCACGCTTCGGCGCGGGCGTTGAGCGATGTGCGGCCCACGTGAACGCGAGGTGAACGGGGGGCGCCTCCCGCTCCGTGTGGCTATCGGCGTACCTTGCGGGACGATGGCCGGGTTTTGCCGGTCACCGACTCGTGAACTGCGCGCTTCGTTCCCAAGCGCCGTGAAGACTGTGAACCGTGAGGCTCGTGAAACGTTCATAGAACGCTGCCGGAGGTGGGTAAAGTGCGTCGAACCGAATGTGGCTCGCGTGCGATGCGTCTATTGGGAGAGGGCATATTGTGCAATAATAAACATTCATTAACACCCCTCAGTGGTCTCGCCTCCAATACTCCGAGGCCCATCCCCGGACTCCCTCGATGACTGTCCCAGAGGGCTCAGCAGTCCCACCCGTGTGGCTCACACAGCCCCACCCGTGTGTGAGGCTCGCACGGAGCCACCCGTGGAGGTGGCCTCACCCGTTGACCAAATGACCCTGCGTGGTCCCCCCCCTCCTGGTGGCCTCGCTCCACCGCCCGCCTACCCACCAACCCACCCACTCACCCACCCACTCACTCACCCACCCACCAACCCAGGGCCCCCTTAAGGGCCCATCCACGGCGTCACCCGATCCCGCCCATTTCTGGAATCCCCTATCCGCTCATCTGCCGCTTGGTTCCCCCACTGCATTTCCCTGATAGACCATAACACGCAGACAGCGGCGCTTCCTCTCTTTGTCAAGGAACATGAACCATCACGCTTTCAGATGCGCTTCTGCAGACGTCTGGAGCGTTCTTCCGATCTAAAACTATTTAAAGTAATTTTTTTTAATTTTACCAGGTGGGGCCCACTGAGATGTACAGCTCTGTTCTAGGAACCACGCGGGCCACAAATGGCAGCTCAACGGAGTCACTTATCGTCGTGTGGGAACTTAGAGTAGCAGCCACATTCTCTAATCGCTTTTAATTGTGGAAGGAAAACCCGGAGGACCCGGAGAAAAATGCACACGACCATGGGGAGAGAGAGACACGCAAACTCCAAATATACAGCAGCAGCAGCAGGCGTCGTCAGGGTCGGGATGTAACCCACGACCTCCTGCACACCAGGCGATGGAGTTAACATCTCCTAGCCACCGTGATGATGACAGACAGAGACACGCAAACTCCAAATGTACAGGAGCAGCAGGCACCGTCAGGGTCTGGATGGAACCCACGACCTCCTGCACACCAGGCGATGGAGTCAACATCTCTCCACCGCGGCGTCTCACATTTGCAAGCCACTGGGAGCTCTGCACTTCTACATCGAGATTGACAACTCATTTTCTTACAACTGCTTTGTGTGTTTAGTTTATTGTCCTTTCCTCGCACGGCTGGATACGTACGGTGCCAACGAAGTTCAACATTACATTCAATACTCTTTGGTTCTTTCGGCAAAGTCACGTAGGTATAAAACATTCAATGACTTCCACTTGCACCTCGTGCCCGCCTTGCCAACGACGTCACCCCATGACGTCACGCCCCCCCACTCGCCGGCTACGACGTCACCGCCACGCCCCTTTATAAGCGGGACTTGTCTCCCGGTTGCGCCCCGCGCCGATTCGCGGCGCGCCCTCATTCACTTGCACGCCACTCACGCGCCGCGCTCGCCTCGGCTTCGTGAGCAAAGCAGTCGCGTTAAATAATAAAATATTAATAAAATAGATTTGTAATTCGTCATTCGCTGTGAAATGTCGTCGTCGTCCAAGACGGGCGGGGGGGTGGTGGCGCCGCCGCGGCTGCAGTCGCTGGTGGAGCTGGACCCGCTGCTGCAGCCCTACGAAGCCGACTTCAAGCGAAGGTGACCGGGGGGGGGGGGGGGGAGAGTGAATGCGGCGGCACGGGCAACGGGAGACAAGGCCCGGCTCGTGCGCGTGCTGTGTTGTGTACGTGCCGGGGAGACAAAGGCGGCCGGGCGTGGTGCTGGTGGTGGTTCTGGTGGTGGTGGTGGTGGTGCTGGTGGTGGTGCTGGCCACCCACCCCTCGTGTGCCACGCAGGTGATGCCGCTCGCTGGCAGCACTTGCCCCACAGTCTGTGGCAGGCTATACGGGGGATCTTCGTCTTGTGTGTACGTGCACCTAGCCTGGCACGACGCTGGGTTGTGTGCTGACGTGACACTGGCACGGTGGCGAATGGCGGCCGCTGCGTTTGTTGGGGTCGATGACATCCAGCCGTGGGTTGGCCAGGGGCTCGGGGCGCGTGTGAAGAGCGGTAGGTCGACTCGGCCCTAAATGACGAGCTGGTGCGGTTCGTAGCGGGGAGACAAAGGCGGCCGGGCGTGGTGCTGGCCACCCACCCCTCGTGTGCCACGCCCGCCTTCACAGGTGCTACTCGCTAACAGCACTTGCCCCTACAGTCTGTCAAGGCTACACGGGGGACATTTGTCAACGTGTGCGTACGCGCGCACACGTGAACCTAGCCTGGCACACACACGTGTGAACCTAGCCTGGCACGCACACACGTATGAACCTAGCCTGGCACACACACGTGTGAACCTAGCCTGGCACACACACGTGTGAACCTAGCCTGGCACGCACACACGTGTGAACCTAGCCTGGCACGCACACACGTGTGAACCTAGCCTGGCACGCACACACGTGTGAACCTAGCCTGGCACGCACACACGTGTGAACCTAGCCTGGCACACATGTGAACCTAGCCTGGCACACACGTGTGTGTAAACCTAGCCTGGCACACACGCACGTGTGAACCTAGCCTGGCACACGCACACACACACGTGTGAACCTAGCCTGGCACACACACGTGAACCTAGCCTGGCACGCGCACACACACGTGAACCTAGCCTGGCACGCACACACACACGTGAACCTAGCCTGGCACGCACACACACGTGTGAACCTAGCCTGGCACACGCACACACGTGTGAACCTAGCCTGGCACACACACACGTGTGAACCTAGCCTGGCACACACACGTGAACCTAGCCTGGCACGCACACATGTGTGAACCTAGCCTGGCACGCACACACGTGTGAACCTAGCCTGGCAGCGCACACACGTGTGAACCTAGCCTGGCACACACACGTGTGAACCTAGCCTGGCACACACACACACGTGTGAACCTAGCCTGGCACACACACACGCGTGTGAACCTAGCCTGGCGCACACACACGCGTGTGTACCTAGCCTGGCACACACGTGAACCTAGCCTGGCACACGGTGGCTAATGCCGGCTGGTGTATCACGTGGGAGGGCTTCATCCAGCAGTGGATCGACCAGAGGCTGCCAATGCGCATGACGCGCGTGGCGTCCTGGGGAGCGGTGGCGCAGTGGTTGGCGCATAGCCCGATGAACCCGGCGACCCCGAGTTGAGATTGGCGCCCACGGCCAATCACATTCGTGACGGCGAATACCTCGATCTGTTACTGTGCCACCGCTAGATCCACTCGGCCCTAACAACGAGTGCCTGGTGTAGTGCGTGTAAAACATCGGTGCCCGGGCGAGACAAAGGTGGCCGGGCGTGGGTGCTGGCCACCCACCCCCTTCTGTGTGCCACGTGCTGATCGCAAACAGCTCTTGCCCCGACAGCCTTACGAGGCTATACGGGGGACCTTTGTATGGGGGGGGGGGGGGGGATTAGTGGCCGAATTGTGGCAATCCGGCAGCCGCGAGTGCGACACGGCACTGTGTGAATTGTCTGCACGCGCCTGTCACCGCCCCCCCCCCCGTGGTGTCGCATTTCGTGGACGCTGGCGCCGCGGTGTGACCGTGGTGCAATCGTGGGGGGCCGCGCCCTGCTGGTGTTGCAATCCGCAGGGATCGCCGACTACGCTGCGAATCCATCTCCCGGCGCGGTGGAAGAGTAGGCCAAGTGCCTAGACGGGAGCTCCCGCTTCTACAGAGCTCCCTCGAGGTTGAGGCCTGGTCTGCGAGCAGTGGCACGAGGAAGCACTTGAAGGGCTGCCCCTATCGCTTATTTGACATGTCACGTTCCCGCGCCTCGTGGGTCTCGTCCCAATCGCGCTCTCAGTGTCGCCTCACGGGGCAAAGAATCCGCTCGGAGCTCCCGCACGGCACCGCAGAAGTAGCTCCCGTGTGGGAGAGAGGCCCGCAGAAGTGGCCAGCGCAGAGCTAGCGCCGGGGTCCCTTCAAGTCACCGCTGGACGCTGGTGAGGGTGGTGAGGGTGGTGAGGGTGGTGAGGCTGGTGAGGGTGGCGAGGGTGGCGAGGGTGGTGATGCTGGTGAGGGTGGTGAGGGTGGTGCGCGTGGCGAGGGTGGTGATGCTGGTGAGGGTGGTGATGCTGGTGAGGGTGGTGAGCGTGGCGAGGGTGGTGATGCTGGTGAGGGTGGTGATGCTGGTGATGCTGGTGAGAGTGGTGATGCTGGTGAGGGTGGTGATGCTGGTGAGGGTGGCGAGGGTGGTGAGGGTGGTGAGCGTGGTGAGGGTGGTGAGCGTGGCGAGGGTGGTGATGCTGGTGAGGGTGGTGAGCGTGGCGAGGGTGGTGAGCGTGGCGAGGGTGGTGATGCTGGTGATGCTGGTGAGAGTGGTGATGCTGGTGAGGGTGGTGATGCTGGTGAGGGTGGCGAGGGTGGTGAGGGTGGTGAGCGTGGCGAGGGTGGTGATGCTGGTGATGCTGGTGAGGGTGGTGAGGGTGGTGAGGGTGGTGATGCTGGTGATGGTGGTGAGGGTGGTGATGCTGGTGAGGGTGGTGATGCTGGTGAGGTTGGTGATGCTGGTGATGCTGGTGAGGGTGGTGAGGGTGGTGATGCTGGTGATGCTGGTGAGGGTGGTGAGGGTGGTGATGCTGGTGAGGGTGGTGAGGGTGGTGATGCTGGTGAGGGTGGTGATGCTGGTGAGGGTGGTGATGCTGGTGAGGGTGGTGATGCTGGTGAGGGTGGTGATGCTGGTGAGGGTGGTGAGGGTGGTGAGGGTGGCGAGGGTGGTGAGGGTGGTGATGCTGGTGAGGGTGGTGAGGGTGGTGAGGGTGGTGATGCTGGTGAGGGTGGTGAGCGTGGCGAGGGTGGTGATGCTGGTGAGGGTGGTGATGCTGGTGAGAGTGGTGATGGTGGTGATGGTGGTGATGGTGGTGATGGTGGTGAGGGTGGTGATGCTGGTGATGCTGGTGATGGTGGTGATGGTGGTGATGCTGGTGAAGGTGGTGAGAGTGGTGATGGTGGTGAGGGTGGTGATGGTGGTGATGGTGGTGAGGGTGGTGATGGTGGTGAGAGTGGTGATGGTGGTGAGAGTGGTGATGGTGGTGAGAGTGGTGATGGTGGTGATGCTGGCGAGGGTGGTGAGGGTAGTGATGCTGGTGATGCTGGTGAGGGTGGTGAGGGTGGCGAGGGTGGTGAGGGTGGCGCTCGCTACCAAAGGGGATTACAACGTTGAGAGTTTGGCTTCTTGTGGGAGGAACCCAGAGGTACCTAGTCTGGCACGACACGGAATTGTAAACAAAACATGCCAATTTGGTCCTAGTCCAGCACACCGATGTGTTCGGGAGTAAACCCACGACGTCTACAATGTGAGTTCGACGTTTCGCCAGGAATTAAAGCTAGCGTCATCAGTCGACGGCCAGATTAGACTGTGTCGGGTGGTTGTGGTGAGAATTACATTGATAATTGGTTTTTTACCCTTCTATCTGGCAACAAAAAACTGACACCTTTTTACAAGGAGTCATGTTTGCATAGACCGCAATACCTGCAGTCATAACACAAACAAAAGAACAACTCTGATAATGTGCACTGGCAAATGAGGTTCCCATACAGAATTACATAGTTAACTTGTTTCCTGTTGACACCAGTTTTTACATAAGCGTATGCATAGTTAAACGATTAGTAGTGAATGGGTAACGGGCAAACCCTTCAATAGTAGCACAGTATTACTGATGCGTCAACTGATTTGTATTCAGAGTTTATACAACGTTGCTGGCACGGTGGACAGTGGGAATGTTTCTCCCGGTGAGCTCAGGGTAGGGGCCGCTTGGCCCCACGTGACCCCGGGGCCCAGGCCCCACGTGACCCGGGGCCCAGGCCCCACGCCAACTTCACGGCCCGGCAAATTCCCATGCAGTCTGCCGCTCAAGGATGCGCCAGGCTGAACCCCCTAGCCTTGGCATTCAACATCTTTGTTTGTCCACCAGGTAAGGCCCCACTGAGCCGTGCAGCTCCTTTTCAGAAGTGGCCTGGCTCCCACAAACGATAGCTCAAGGAAAGCGGCCTATCACGCAAACTCCAAATATACAGCAGCAGGCGTCCGGGTCGGGATAGAACCCACGACCTCCCGCATAGCAGGCGAGGGAGACGACGTCTGCGCCACCCGGCACGCGGTTTGTAAACGTTAGCGCCGGGGAATACAAATGCGGCTGTGAGTGGTGGAGGCCTCAGCCGCCCGGCTTGCGGCGGGGCTGGGGGACACCGTGCACCGCCCGGGCTCCAACCCGGGCGGCGGCGGTGCGTTCGTGGCTCGCTCACTGCGGACGACGGCGAGCGGCGCAGACTTTGTGGATGAAGAGCAGGGGCAGGGAGAGGCCCCCCCCCACCGGCACCCCATCGGCTGGCACCCCTCCTCTCGACGTGTGCCGGGCGGCGGGGTGGGGGGCACCGGGGGCAACTCGGGGCAGGGGCGGACCCGCGGGTGACATTTGGGCGATGTATTTCTGGGCTGTGAGTGGCCCAGTTTAATTAGCGGAGTGTCGCAATGCCGCTGCCATGGTATCGCGTGTCCCAGCAAGACGGCGTGTGGGCTCAAGGTCATTTGAATGAACGTCCCCTGTGGGCTTGCGTCTGCGTGTGAGCCCGTGAGCGGGCACAGGGCTCACACGTAGCGGTCAGCGCGCCGCGCTACGAACCCGGCGACCCGAGTTCGATTTCCGCTCACGGCCAACGCCGGCGATAGCGATTATCTGAACCGGTGCTGGGTTTCTCCTAGGTCGACTCGGCCTTAAATGAGTATCTGGTGTGGCGTGTAAAGATTAGCACTCTGATATGGGACCTTTCTTGGCAGTATTAAAATATAACAATCGGTTTTACCCTTTCTGGCAACAAAACAGTTGTGTCAAGATGTTTAAACACCAAACAGAATGCTTAGTTAAGGAATCCTGTTACTGCATTCACCACACACAGTACTCGTGGTGGTGAACTTGCAAACAAAAACAACAACACGCTCTTACAATAGATGGGCATTGTCTTTGAAACTGGTCCACACCAGAGACAGCTTTCTGTTGAGCCTCGTCTCAAAGTGTAAGACCTGTTTGGTGTTTTAACATCTTGACACAACTGTTTTATTGCCAGAAATGGTAAAACTTATTGTTATATTTAAATACTGGCAAGTGGAAAGAAAGGTCCCATATTGCAGCTGCTCACTGCGGGCTATACACGTCCTGATCGTGCATTGCCTTTGTGCTGATCGCCTCGTGGCGTTCTCTGGACACAAAGGTGGCCGGGTGAAGTGTTGGCCACCCATCCCCCTCCACCTGTACCATCGGTGCTCACTAACAGCACTTGCCCCAACAGTCTGTTCAGGCTATAATGGGGATTTGGGTGAGTGTGTGTGGGAGTGCGTGAGTGAGTGAACGAGTGTGGAATTTGTAAGTTCTCTCTCTCTCCCCCTGTTCTGCATGGGTTTTCTCCCCCATCTCAGGTTTCCTCCCCCATGTAAACATTCATTACGTGGGCTAATAACACCTTAATATGGAGAGGACTGCAGAACTTGGTCAATTGGTGGTATTGTCGGATCCTCAGTAGTTCCTCGGGGCTCCTCTGAGTGGGTACTCGCTATTTTTTAGAAGCAACTTGGATATCGCAAATGGCAGCTGAATGAAGTTGCTCATCACGTGGAAATATAGAGCAGCAGCAGCCAAATCCTGTACGTGCGTGATGTTGATTCTAAACGTGGACGGAAAATCCGGAGGACCCAGAGGAAAATCCACGAGACCACGGAGAGAGAGAGAGACACGCAGACTCCAAATACACAGCAGGCGTCGGGGTCGGGATCGAACCAACGACCTCCTGTACACCAGTCGAGGTAGTTGAGTCATTGCCGGTATTGTTGTGGGTGTGTGCGCGTGCGTGTGTGTGTGCGTGCGTGGGTGTGTGTGTAGGTATGGGCGCATGCAGGAGCTCCTGGGGGAGATGGATCAGCACGAGGGCGGTTTGGACGCGTTCACGCGCGGCTACGCCACGATGGGCATCACGAAGGGCCCTGACGGGACGCTGTGCTGCCGGGAGTGGGCCCCTGGGGCCCAGGCCCTGCACCTCACGGGGGACTTCAGTGGGTACCCCCACCACTGCACCACCACCACACCGCACCACCACCACACCGCACCACCACAACACTGCACCACCACAACACCGCACCACCACCGCACCGCACCACCACCGCACCACCACCACACCGCACCACCACCACACCGCACCGTACCACCACCGCACCGCACCACCACACCGCACCACCACCACACCGCACCACCACCACACCTCACCACCACCACACCTCACCACCACCACACCTCACCACCACCACACCGCACCACCACCACACCTCACCACCACCACACCGCACCACCACCACACCGCACCACCACCGCACCGCACCACCACCGCACCGCACCACCACACCGCACCACCACCACACCGCACCACCACAACACCGCACCACACCGCACCACCACCGCACCGCACCACCACCACACCACACCACCACCGCACCGCACCACCACCACACCGCACCACCACAACACCGCACCACCACCACACCGCACCACCACAACACCGCACCACCACCGCACCGCACCACCACCGCACCACCACCGCACCGCACCACCACCACACCGCACCACCACCGCACCGCACCACCATCACACCGCACCACCACTGCACCGCACCACCACCGCACCACCACCGCACCACCACCGCACCGCACCACCACCACACCGCACCACCACAACACCGCACCACCACCACACCGCACCACCACCACACCGCACCACCACCGCACCACCACCGCACCACCACCGCACCACCACCGCACCACCGCACCACCACCGCACCACCACTACACCGCACCACCACCGCACCACCACCGCACCACCACCGCACCACCACCGCACCGCACCACCACCACACCGCACCACCACAACACCGCACCACCACCACACCGCACCACCACCGCACCACCACCGTACCGCACCACCACCGCACCGCACCACCACCGCACCGCACCACCACCGCACCGCACCACCACCGCACCGCACCACCGCACCGCACCACCACCGCACCACCACAACACCGCACCACACCGCACCACCACCGCACCGCACCACCACCACACCGCACCACCACCACACCGCACCACACCGCACCACCACCACACCGCACCACCACCACACCGCACCACCACCACACCGCACCACCACCACACCGCACCACCACCACACCGCACCACCACCACACCGCACCACCACCACACCGCACCACCACCACACCGCACCGCACCACACCGCACCACACCGCACCACACCGCACCACCACCGCACCGCACCACCACCGCACCGCACCACCACCGCACCGCACCACCACCACACCGCACCACCACCACCACAGCAGCAGCAGCAGCGACGGCCATGTGTCACTAAGTGGCGGTGATGTCACCGCGGCGCCTGTGCCAGGCTGGGTGCACTTTGAGGCCACCGCGTGAAGTGCGTGGGGATCTTGCTGACGGCATGGGCAACGGGAAAGAGGGCCGCACGTGTGTGTGTGTGTGTACGCGCGAGTGTGTGTGTGTGTATGCACGTGTGTGTATGTGTGTGTATGCACGTGTGTGTATGTGTGCGTACGTGCGGGGGGGAGCGGTAGTATGGCTGTCAGCGCGCTGCGCTACGAACCCGACGACCCGAGTTCGATTTTCCGCTCACGGCCAACAACACAAGTGACGATTATCTGAACCGGTTCTGGGCCTCCCCTAGGTCGACTCGGCCTCAAATGAGTACCTGGTGCGGTGTGTAAACATCGCCACAATGGAGGCAAAGACGGCCGTGCTCACACACCCCCTCGTGTGCCGTACCGGCCTTCGTAGGTGCTCGCTAACGGCACTTGCCGCGACAGTGTTCAGGCTTACTCGGGGGACCTTTGTCTTTGTCTCAGACGGATGGGACCACTTCTCGCACGCCTTCTCGCGCCTCGAGTTCGGCAAGTGGGAGCTCCTTCTGCCCCGCAGGCCTGACGGCTCCCCCGCCATCTCGCACGGCTCCAAGCTCAAGGTGAGCCCGCGTCTAGGTGCGCTCGGCCTCAAACGGATGGGCGCGGCGCATCACGGCGGTTACATCGTCATCGGCGTCGTCACCATCGCTGTGTTTGGCACGGTCGTGATGATGGTGACGATGGTGATTGTGGCTGTAGTGTGGATGGCGGTGATGGCGGTAGTGGTGATGCTGTTTTTGTTGATGTTCACATTGACGTTATTCGTGGTTTTGTTGATGTTGTTGTTGTTGTTGATTTGAGGTGGTGGTGGTGACGACCGATGGCCGCACGCTGTTCCGCATCTCTCCGTGGGCACACTACGTCACCAAGGAGGGTGCAGCCGTCACCTACGAGTGGGTGCACTGGGACCCGCCGAACCCCTACCAGGTGTCCAACCCGAACCCCGCCTAGAACACTGCCGCAGCCGCAGCACCAGCTGTCGCACCACCAGGTCTACCGCACCCCTAGCTGCTGCCTCTAACGTGGGGCTCTGCCCGTGCCCCCCCCCCCCCCCCCCCCCCCCCCCCGTGGCGCAGCGCGTGCACCCTGTGCCCCCGTGCCCACGCAGTCTGCGCATCTACGAGGCCCACGTGGGCATCTCCTCGCACGAGGGCCGCGTCGCCACCTACGAGCACTTCACGCGCCACATGCTGCCCCGCATCAAGAGGCTCGGTGAGTCGCTCGCTCACTTCACGCGCCACATGCTGCCCCGCATCAAGAGGCTCGGCGAGTCTCTGGGCTCTCCACCTGTACCCATGTATTCCGCCTCCTCCTCGTGCCTCTATCGAGACGTCCTCTCTCTCTGTCTCTGTCTGTCTCTACGCGAGCGATGAGCGGGCACCGTGCGGTGTCGTCGTTACCGTTACCGAGTAAACTTCATCATCGCGGAGACAAAGGCGGCCGGGTGCGGTGCTGGACGCCCCCCCCCTCCCCCCCCCTCCCCCCCCCCGCGTCTCCCCCTCGGGTGACGTGCTGGCCTCGCTCGCAGTACTTGCCCTGCCCGCCGGTCGGGGCTATGTGGGGGACCTTTGTCTGCCTCTGCGCTTTAGGGTACAACTGCATCCAGCTGATGGCGGTCATGGAGCACGCGTACTACGCCAGCTTCGGATACCAAGTCACCAGCTTTTTCGCTGCCTCCAGGTCCGTGACGTCACCGCCAACACCGTCATCATCGCCAACACCGTTGTCATCGCCAACACAGTCGTCATCGCCAACATCGCCAACATCGCCAACATCGTCATCACCAACACCGTCGTCATCGCCAACACCGTCATCATTGCCAACACAGTCATCATCGCCAACACCGTTGTCATCGCCAACACAGTCGTCATCGCCAACATCGCCAACATCGCCAACATCGTCATCACCAACACCGTCGTCATCGCCAACACCGTCATCATCGCCAACATCGCCAACATCGTCATCACCAACACCGTTGTCATCGCCAACATCGTCAACATCGTCATCACCAACACCGTCGTCATCGCCAACACCGTTGTCATCGCCAACATCGCCAACATCGTCATCACCAACACCATTGTCATCGCCAACACCGTCGTCATCGCCAACATCGTCATCACCAACACCGTTGTCATCGCCAACACCGTCGTCATCGCCAACATCGCCAACATCGTCATCACCAACACCGTCGTCATCGCCAACACCGTTGTCATCGCCAACATCGCCAACACCGTCGTCACCAACACCGTCGTCATCATCGCCGACATCATCATCATCATCATCGCCGACGTCGACATCGTCGTCACCATCAACACCAACATCGCCATCGTCACTGGCATCACCGACTCTGACGTGACTGTTGGCTCCTTCGGCGCTATCGGCGCACGCGCCGTCACCGCGAGCGCCGCCGGTTTCTCCCCCTCGCTCCCTCATGCCCCCCCCCCGTGCAGTCGCTACGGCACCCCGGACGAGCTGAAGGCGCTGCTGGACACGGCCCACGCGCTGGGGCTGCGCGTGCTGCTGGACGTGGTGCACAGCCACGCGTCGCGCAACACCGAGGACGGCCTCAACGAGTACGACGGCACCGACGGCGCCTTCTTCCACGCGGGGCCACGCGGGGCCCACCCGCTGTGGGACAGCCGCCTCTTCAACTACCGCAGGTGGGCACCGCCACCACCAACGCCAACGCCGGGATGCTGGTGGACACCCTGCGGTGGTGGTGGAGAAACGGTGGTGGTGGTGGTGGGAGACCACAATAACACTGACACACTAATACTACCACAATAACACTGTGTGTGTGTGTGTTCTCTGTGTGTGTGTGTTCTCTCTGTGTGTGCTCTGCGTGTGCTCTGTGTGTGCTCTGCGTTGTGTGTGTGCTCTGTGCGTGTTCTGTGTGTGCTCTGCGTGTTCTCTGTGTGTGTGTGTGTGTTCTCTCTGTGTGTGCTCTGCGTGTGCTCTGTGTGTGCTCTGCGTTGTGTGTGTGCTCTGCGTGTTCTGTGTGTGCTCTGCGTGTTCTCTGTGTGTGTGTGTGTTCTCTCTGTGTGTGCTCTGTGTGTGCTCTGCGTTGTGTGTGTGCTCTGTGTGTGTTCTGTGTGTGCTCTGCGTGTTCTCTGTGTGTGTGTGTGGGCTCTGTGAAGCTGGGAGGTTCTGCGTTTTCTGCTCTCAAATCTGCGCTGGTGGATGGAGGAGTACGGATTCGATGGCTTCCGCTTTGACGGCATCACGTCGATGATTTACCACCACCACGGTGTAGGTGAGACACGCGGGGGACACGCGGAGGCGCGTAGAGACACACACAGAGACGTAGCGACACGCGGGGACACGCGGAAACCCACACGGAAACCCACACGGAGACCCACACGGAGACCCACACGGAGACCCACACGGAGACCCACACGGAGACCCACACGGAGACCCACACGGAGACCCACACGGAGACCCACACGGAGACCCACACGGAGACCCACACGGAGACCCACACGGAGACCCACACGGAGACCCACACGGAGACCCACACGGAGACCCACACGGAGACCCACACGGAGACCCACACGGAGACCCACACGGAGACCCACACGGAGACCCACACGGAGACCCACACGGAGACCCACACGACCACACGAGACCCACACGGAGACCCACACGGAGACCCACACGGAGACCCACACGGAGACCCACACGGAGACCCACACGAGACCCACACGGAGACCACACGGAGACCCACACGGAGACCCACACGGAGACCACACGGAGACCCACACGGAGACCCACACGGAGACCCACACGGAGACCCACACGGAGACCACACGGGAGACCCACACGGAGACCCACACGGAGACCCACACGGAGACCCACACGGAGACCCCACACGGAGACCCACACTGAGACCCACACGAGACCCACACGGAGACCACACGGAGACCCACACGGAGACCCACTCGGAGACCCACACGGAGACCCACACGGAGATCCCACATCGGAGACCCACACGGAGACCCCCACCGGAGACCCACACGGAGACCCACACCGGAGACCCAACACGGAGACCACCACGGAGACCCACACGGAGACCCCACGGAGACCCCACACGGAGCCCACACGGAGACCCACACGGCGACCCACACGGAGACCCACACGGAGACCCCACCCGGAGACCCACACACGGAGACCCCCACGGAGACACACACGGAGACCCACACGGAGACCCACACGGAGACCCACACGGGAGACCCACACGAGACCCCACGAGACCCACACGGAGACCACACGGAGACCCACACGGAACCACCGGAGACCCACACGGAGACCCACACGGAGAACCCGACCCACACGGAGACCCACACGGAGACCCACACGGAGACCCACACGGAGACCCACACGGAGACCCACACGGAGACCCACACGGAGACCCACACGGAGACCCACACGGAGACCCACACGGAGACCCACACGGAGACCCACACGGAGACCCACACGGAGACCCACACGGAGACCCACACGGAGACCCACACGGAGACCCACACGGAGACCCACACGGAGACCCACACGGAGACCCACACGGAGACCCACACGGAGACCCACACGGAGACCCACACGGAGACCCACACGGAGACCCACACGGAGACCCACACGGAGACCCACACGGAGACCCACACGGAGACCCACACGGAGACCCACACGGAGACCCACACGGAGACCCACACGGAGACCCACACGGAGACCCACACGGAGACCCACACGGAGACCCACACGGAGACCCACACGGAGACCCACACGGAGACCCACACGGAGACCCACACGGAGACCCACACGGAGACCCACACGGAGACCCACACGGAGACCCACACGGAGACCCACACGGAGACCCACACGGAGACCCACACGGAGACCCACACGGAGACCCACACGGAGACCCACACGGAGACCCACACGGAGACCCACACGGAGGACCCACACGGAGACCCACACGGAGACCCACACGGAGACCCACACGGAGACCCACACGGAGACCCACACGGAGACCCACACGGAGACCCACACGGAGACCCACACGGAGACCCACACGGAGACCCACACGGAGACCCACACGGAGACCCACACGGAGACCCACACGGAGACCCACACGGAGACCCACACGGAGACCCACACGGAGACCCACACGGAGACCCACACGGAGACCCACACGGAGACCCACACGGAGACCCACACGGAGACCCACACGGAGACCCACACGGAGACCCACACGGAGACCCACACGGAGACCCACACGGAGACCCACACACACGGAGACCCACACGGAGACCCACACGGAGACCCACACGGAGACCCACACGGAGACCCACACGGAGACCCACACGGAGACCCACACGGAGACCCACACGGAGACCCACACGGAGACCCACACGGAGACCCACACGGAGACCCACACGGAGACCCACACGGAGACCCACACGGAGACCCACACGGAGACCCACACGGAGACCCACACGGAGACCCACACGGAGACCCACACGGAGACCCACACGGAGACCCACACGGAGACACAGACATTCGGGGACACAGACACACAGGCAGACGATGTTGATGGTGTGTGTGTCTCGGAGTGGGCTTCATTAGCGATGTTGGTGGCGTTGACGATGTCGACGATGTTGACGATGTGCAGGAGAGGGGTTCTCTGGGAACTACGAGGAGTACTTTGGGCTGCAGGTGGACGAGGACTCCCTCGTCTACCTCATGCTGGCCAATCACATGCTGCACTCCTTCTACCCACAATGCACCACGGTCGCAGAGGTACCGCCCCCCGTGCCCCCACCACGCGGCTTGAGTCGTTGGCAGTGTTGACGATGCAGTTGGCAGTGTTGACGATGCAGTTGGCAGTGTTGACGATGCAGTTGGCAGTGTTGACGATGCAGTTGGCAGTGTTGTGTGTTTTATTTGTCTTGCGCTGGTTGGCCACAGCCTGTGGGAGGGCTCTGTCGGTCGATTCCGCTAACTCATTCTCTTGCTCGGTTCAACTAGAGCAGTCGTATTTTTAGTCCGACACTCGTCGCGAATGATTAGCTGAGAGTTTTGAATTCCTAAATAGTTTAGCGTCAAACTATAACCTCCATATCCTTAAGAGAGGGTGCTTGCCTATGAACGTCTGGCAGCTCACCAGCATTGACTCGAGCAAGGCTGCCTCTGCTGCTAACGAGACACCGACTGTCGAATCGGTGCAGTGGGAATTGTGCACTCTCATCAGGATGTGTGTGTGGGGCTGATGGGCTGAGTAAGGAGTCATTGTAGGTTGTGTCTGCAGAGAGGGACGCGTGAAGGAGGAGGAGGATCGTTGATATCGTTGGCGTTGGGGACTCACAAATCCCTCCAACCCCACCCCAGTTGGATTCCCGCTCACGGCCAACACCAACACCGGTGACGATTATCTGAAACGGTCCTGGGCCTTCCCCAGGGTGGACTCGGCCTAAAATGAGTGCGTGGTGCAACGTGTAAAATCTATGGCCACTGGGGAGACAAAGGCGGCCGGCCGTGGTGTTGGCCACCCATCGTCCCACGTGCGCCGCGCCGGTCTTGATGGGCGCTGCTACTCTCCCACGGCACTTGCCCCGTCGCTCTGTGAAAGGCTACACGGGGGACCTTTGTCCGCGTGGCAGGAGGTGTCGGGGATGCCGGCGCTGTGCCGCCCGGTGGAGGAGGGGGGCGCCGGCTTCGACTACCGCCTGGCGATGGCCATCCCCGACAAGTGGATCCAGGTACCACGGTGCACCGCCGCCGGCGTCGGCCATGCTCTATCCACTGCTGGATGAAGGCCTCCCGAAGCCGTCGCAGTCTTCATCTCCCCCCCCCCCTCCCCCCCGTGTCTCTGAGCGTCCCCGTAGATAATCAAGGAGCGCAAGGATGAGGACTGGAACATCGGGGACATCGTCCACACGCTCATCAACCGGCGTCACGGGGAGAAGTGCATCGCCTACGCAGAGAGCCACGACCAGGTGACGAGGCCGAGGCTGAGACCTCCCGTGGTGTCGCCTCTCACGGGCTGCGGGGGTCGCTAGGCCGCTCATTCACGCTCCCCTCCCCCCATCCCCTGCCCCCCTCCGCCGTGGCCCCAGGCGCTGGTGGGGGACAAGACGCTGGCGTTCTGGTTGATGGACAAGGCGATGTACTTCGACATGTCCGTCGAGTGTCCGCCCAGCGTCATCGTGGACCGGGGCATCCAGCTGCACAAGCTGATCCGCCTGCTGACGCACGCGCTGGGCGGCGAGGCCTACCTCAACTTCATCGGTAGCGGCGCGACCCCCAGCGTGCGTGTGCGCGTGCGTGCGTACGTGTGTGCGCGCGTGCGCGCGCGTGCGTGTGCGTGCGCGCGTGTGCGTGCATGTGCGTGCGTACGTGTGTGTGTGTACGTGTGTGCGCGTGTGCGTGCGTGTGTGCGTATGTGTGTGGGGAGCGGTAGTGTAGCGGTTCGCGCCGTGCTGTGCTACGAACCCGGCAACCCGGGTTAGATTCCCGCTCGTGGCCAACGCCGGTGGCGATTTATCTGAACCGGTCCTAGGTCTCCCCTAGGTCGACTCGACCTCAAATGAGTACCTGGTGCGGTGTTAGCGGTGTGTAGTAAACATCGCCATTGGGGAGACAAAGGCAGCCGAGCGTGGTACTGGCCACCCACCCCCTCGTGCGCCGTGCTGGCCTTCATAGGTGCTACTCTCTTGCAGCACTTGCCCCAACAGTATGTTAAGTCTGTACGGGGGATCTTTGTCTTTGCGTGTGTGGAGCGGCGGGCGCAGTGGTTAGCGCCGTGTCGGCCACCGAGCCAGGGCCTAGGCCCAGGCCTCGGCAAGGTAAAAGGTAAAAACAAGGAGCCTACCTTTACCCTACCTTTTACCCTTGCCCCATACAAATTCTCCGATTACAGGCTAATCACTGGGGTACTACTACACATGAACAAGGTTTATAACAGGTAAATGCTAGGTAGAGCGCTTTACTCATGTAGAATACTCTCGATGATTCCAATTTTAAATGTTGGCCACGGACTGCGCCACGGAGCTATTAGCGGTAAACAAGGTACCGTATTTACCGGGTAAGACTTCGCGCTACTTTTACCCGACCCTTGACCTTACCCCTCGGCATGTCGACACCTTGACCCGACCCTTGACCTTTTACCTTTACCCTTTTACCCGGTAAAAATGGTAAATTACCTTGCCTTGCCGAGGCCTACCAGGGCCACACAGTTGACGGGCGGTCGTGTGAGGGACACTTGGAGAGCCTAGGCCCTAGGGTGAGGGTTCAAGCCCCGGGGTCTGGGCGTCTCCCTCGGCAGGTTTACAACGGCCGTTTCGTTGTCGAGGTGTTCGTAATGGCCCGTGTGACGCAGCCTCGTCTGGAACCTCACCACCACCGCCCCCAACCTCCCGACCCCCGTCGCAGGCAACGAGTTCGGGCACCCCGAGTGGCTGGACTTTCCCCGGGTGGGGAACGGCGAGAGTTTCCACTACGCGCGGCGGCAGTTCCACCTGGCGGACGACCCGACGCTGCGCTACCAGCACCTGCAGGCGTTCGACGCCAGCATGAACCACGCGGAGGAGAAGTTCGGCTGGCTCGCGGCGCAGCAGGTCGGACGGCGCGGCGTGCTCGCTCGCCGCGGTTGGGTGGTCGCGCGGTCGGAATGCGGCGGGCCGCCCCGGTTAATACCGTGCGCCGTCTGCACCGCTCGCGGTGGACGCTCCGGGAGCCCCGTGACGTCGTTGGCTAGGAGGGGTCGGCCGTCGTGTGCCGGCGTCGCGCAACACATTTGACAAATTCGAAAATTGCCATCGCACCCCTCCCCCCGCCCCCCCTCCCGTCCCTCCCCCTCCTGCCCCCCCTCCCGCCCCCCTGCCCCATGCTGGGGAACCATCGCCCCGTGCTATGGGAACGTCGCCGACGTCAAACGTACTGAATAACAACGGCTATAATAATAATAAGAGTGATGATAGCCGTGGTTGTTGTTGTGTGCGCGTGTGCAGGCGTTTGTGAGCTGCAAGCACCAGGGCGACATGGTGGTGTCGTTTGAGAGGGCCAACCTGCAGTTCGTGTTCAACCTGCACCCCGCCAACAGCTACACCGACTACCGCATCGGCGTGCGCACGGCCGGGAGGCATCCTCACTCGCTGGCCGCACGCACACGCGTTGCAGCGTGTGTGTCGTGATGTGTGTCGTAGTGTGTCGTGATGTGTGTGTGTGTGTCGTAGTGTGTTTGTGTGTGTGTGTGTATACCAGTAGGGGGAGGCACAGCGCCAGTCGTATCAGTCAGCCAACCCACGGCACCTGCCAGGTCTGCCCCGTGACCTCCTGTCGGCATTGAGCCTTCCACACTTCACGTGACGGCCTCAAAGCGCGCCTGGCCTGGCACGGGCGCCGTGCTGACGTCACCACCACTTAGTGGCGAATGGCGGCTGTTGTTGTTGTTGGTGTCTGCGTGCGTGCGTGGGTGTCTTTGGTAGTGTATCTGGGGGGAGCGGAAGTGCAGCAGTTGGCGCGCTGCTCGCGGCCAATACAATTGACAATTATCTGAACTTGGGCCTCCCCTATGTCGACTTAGCCTTAATTGAGTACCTGGCGCGCAGTGTGTATTAAACATCAGCCGTGGGGAGACAAAAGGCAGCCCCAGCCGCTTCCGCGAGTCTCTTGCACCTCCGCCCCCCCCCCCCCCCCCCCCCGCGCGTCTCCATGTAGCCTTGAGTCCTTGACGGCGAGTCCGCAGGTACCACATCGTGCTGGACACGGACCTGCGGGAGCACGGCGGGCACCAGCGGCTGCAGCACGACGTCGAGTTCTTCTCCAGCCCCGTGCCCATTGGGGGCCTCCAGCACTCCATCCTGGTGAGTTGGGGGGAGTTGGGGCAGGGGGGGGGAGTTGGGGCAGGGGGGGGGTGTCCTTGGAGGGGTGGTTCATGATGGCCATGTCGGGGGACGTGACGGCCTGGGCACATTCCCCAATGCTGTTGGTTGAAGGCTCAGAGAGGCAGCCTAGGGCACTTGGGGTTTAAAGTTACAGTGTACTAATGTGTCTGCGTGTGTCCGTGTGTCTGCGTGTGTCCGTGTGTCTGTGCATGTGTCCGTGTGTCTGTGCATGTGTCCGTGTGCACACGTGTGTGTCCGTACATTTGTGTGTGGGTTTTTGTCTATGGGTGGGTTGGTGTCTGTGTGTCGCTCTGTATGTGTGTCCATGTACGTGTATTTATGCACGTGTGTGTGCATTCATGCACATGTGTATATGTATTTTACACACGTGTGTGCACGTCCGTCCCATGTGTTTGTGCACGCACGCACCAGCTGTACATCCCCTCGCGCGTCGCGGTGGTCCTGGCCAACAGGGAGCTGGACAACTAAGACCATTCACGACTCTGCATCGTGAACCAATCGCGTCGGCGTGACCACCGATCACAGTCAACTCGTTCCTGCAACCTATCGCCAGCCACGCGCGCCTGATCGGGGTGCCGCCCTCTCTACCTCTCACTCACTCACGCTGTGTCACGCTGTGTCACGCTGTGTCACACTTGCACACTGCCACGTGCTTGTCACGCTCTGTCACGTGCTGTCACACACTGTCACGCGCGACGGCTCGGCATCTCACCTCCTCCACTCTGTGCCTATTCCTCTATGCTCACTCACCCACTCGCTCACCCACTCGCTCACCCACTCGCTCACCCACTCGCTCACCCACTCGCTCACCCACTCGCTCACCCACTCGCTCACCCATTCACCTGCTTGCTCACCCATTCACTTATCCCCTACCCACTTCTCTACTCACCCACTCACCCACTCACCTACTCATCCCCCCCCCCCCATCCTCTACTCTGGCCCTCGCTCTCCGCCTGCGCTCCCCCTCTCTGTGGGTACCGTCTGTGCCCCAGGGGACGTCGTCCGGCCATTCTCTCCCAACTCGTCGCGGCACTTTATGTTTGACAGCAGCCGATGAGCGGCCGTGGTGCGGCGTGACCCCAAACAGTTCCAAACTCTAACTCGGAGCGGCGCCCTGACCCCGCGTCTCCAAAGTCCGCTTAAAAGTAAAAAACGAAATGGGATGCCTTTATTCTAGTTTGTTTTTTTAATTAACCGCGTTTTTTGCCGAGAAAGTTCGAGGTCTGTCGAAGTTTTGATAACCGCCGGTCGCCGCTCCTGCCGGGGGGGACGCGCGACCCGGCGACGTCTCGCAATCGCCGCGCCACCGAGTCGCGTGGCCCCCGCTCGTCGTCGAAGCGTTCTGACGGGTGCGCTCGGCACGAAGCTCACGTCGAAGCGTTCTGACGGGTCAACGTTGGGTTGGCGCTCGGCACGAAGCTCGAAGCGTCGGAGCGTTGAGCCGCAAGTTGCCCTCCGTTCCGACTCCTGAGTGGAGATGCACGGTTATAGTGAAGAGTGGAAATACCTCTAAACAAACGAAAGAATTGTGATTTTGTTTCTTGTTGGCTCTATGATTATCTATCTTGCAAATGGAAGTAATTGGTACAGAATCTGTTCAGTTTAGGATAACGCTTAAAACAACACGCTTAGAGATGCTTGCGCACACTCGCAGGCACACACAAAAACGCTCGCATTCGCAGACGCTCACATTCATGGACACACACACGGACACACACACGGACACACACACGGAAACCCACACGGACACACACACGGACACACACACGGACACACACACGGACACACACACACACGGACACACACACGGACACCTCTCCTCTGCCGCCGGTTCCCGCGGAGTCAGAATGATCGTGGCCGGAGCGATGTCCGTCTGGCTCGGCGCTCGTTCCGCGCGATTCGTGGCGAGCGATTCGCGGTCCACTTTGTGGTCGTGCCGCTGCGGAACGATCGCCGAGAGCCCCCCGCCGCCACCACCCTGCGCGGCCACCGACTCCGCGGGCGTCTCGAGCGGCGAGTCGCCGCACCCTCCCCCCCCCCCCCCCGCGTGCCCCCCTCCATCGCGTCTGGCGAGGGCGCAGATTCGGTCGGCTCGTTTGGAGAGCTCACCACCCCCCCCCCCCCCCAAAAAGTATTTTGAACAAATGGCTGTGACCCATCACTCGGTGCATTGCAAGGCTGTCGTTTGTGGTAGTTGAAGTCGCACATGTCATGGCGAGTTCAATGTCTTTATATGTTCTCGTGCATCGGGACGGCGTGCGCATCGAGCGCAGTACGGGCTGCGATGTGAAGCCTTCGCACGCGTGTCACGGCAGCGCCGCGGGGAGCGGAGGCAAGGAAGTCGTGACTGGGAACGGAGAAGGGAAGAGGGAAGAGAAAGAGTGGGAGATGGGGGGGGGACAAGGATGGAGAAGGAACGGAGAAACGGGAGCACGGGGGTCAGGGAGACGAGGAGGGAGAGTCTGTAGCAGCAGCAGCAGCAGGGAGAGGCCGTGGCAGCAGCAGCAGGGAGAGGCTGTGGCAGCAGCAGCAGGGAGAGGCTGTAGTAGCAGCAGCAGCAGGGAGAGGCTGTGGCAGCAGCAGCAGGGAGAGGCTGTAGTAGCAGCAGCAGCAGGGAGAGGCTGTAGCAGCAGCAGCAGGGAGAGGCTGTAGTAGCAGCAGCAGCAGCAGGGAGAGGCCGTGGCAGCAGCAGCAGGGAGAGGCTGTGGCAGCAGCAGCAGGGAGAGGCTGTAGCAGCAGCAGCAGGGAGAGGCTGTGTGGCAGCAGCAGCAGGGAGAGGCTGTAGAGCAGCAGCAGCAGCGGAGAGGCTGTAGCAGCAGCAGCAGGGAGAGGCTGTAGTAGCAGCAGCAGCAGCAGGGAGAGGCCGTGGCAGCAGGCAGCAGGGAGAGGCTGTGGCAGCAGCAGCAGGGAGAGGCTGTAGCAGCAGCAGCAGGGAGAGGCTGTGTGGCAGCAGCAGCAGGGAGAGGCTGTAGCAGCAGCAGCGCAGGAAGCAGCAGCAGGGAGAGGCTGTAGTAGCAGCAGCAGCAGCAGGGAGAGGCTGTGGCAGCAGCAGCAGGGAGAGGCTGTAGTAGCAGCAGCAGCAGCAGCAGGGAGAGGACTGTAGTAGCAGCAGCAGCAGCAGGGAGAGGCTGTGGCAGCAGCAGCAGGGAGAGGCTGTGGCAGCAGCAGCAGCAGCAGGGAGAGGCTGTAGTAGCAGCAGCAGCAGCAGGGAGAGGCTGTGGCAGCAGCAGCAGGGAGAGGCTGTGGCAGCAGCAGCAGGGAGAGGCCGTGGCAGCAGCAGCAGGGAGCGGCGTCTGTTTTCACAGTGGGCGGGGAGAGGGAAGGAGCTCGGTGGGCGTGGCCTCACGGAAGCCACGTGATTGAAGGGAGGCTGCAGCTGGTTTAGAGATGGTCCAGTGATTAGAGGACTCGCTGCAGTTGATTAATGTATATTCTTGGTTCTTTCGGTAAAGTCACGTAGAAGGGAAATAATAAAATAATAAAAATATAAAACAAAAAAATTCTCACGACGTTTCGACTGCAACACAAGCAATCATCATCAGGTGTGAAATCCACACTACCGAAAGAACCAAGAATATGAATCCCTGTAGTCGCGAAAGCTTTAAATGAAAATTGATGAATGTAGTGAATATCGTATTCGTATTGGAAGTAGGCGAGCAATGGCACAAAACCCGATGCAATAAAAACCGCGAAGTCGAATTGTGACTCTTGGGGCGTCGCGTTGTGGACGTGAATGTCGTGATCACGGTACCCATCGCTCGGTCGTGGCTCATGCCGCCACGCGTGTGCTTGTGTGTCATTTGTCACAATTCTACGTGTATCTATCTACGTAGACGAGGCATTAATCGGCACTCCCCATGCTGTTAGCGGGTAGCTTCCCCTTCGCGGCAACAGGGGACGGAAGTGCGATTACGCGAAAGTAAAGGACCGTGGCCCAAGGAGCCAACGGCAGTCCCTGGGAGAGGGATCCTGGGGACACGATCCCCAAACCCCGGGAGGGGGACTGGGGGATGACGTCACCTTCCAGAAGGCTCTGGAAGGGGGGCGTAGCTAGGGCGGAGCAAGCCACGGACCTGTATAGAAGCCGGTCCTCTGAAGGGTCCGGCTCGCTCATCTCCAAGCCGTGGACTGAAGACCTGGGCGGAAGGTAGGACCCTGGACCCCAAGCTACAGGGTCCTATCTTCTGAGGGCCGGAGCTGAGTGAGGCCGGCGGTCGGGTCGGCGTGGCCCCCCCTCGGGCCCCTCGCCGGACGGCTCCGAGCCGGCGTGGGCCCAGTGTTGGGCGGCGGTGTAGGCCGGAGGCCGCCTCGGGCATCGCGTGGAAGGGGCCGCTACCCCTTCGTGTTCGGGACCCTGTGACAGAGTAGTGAAATAAACATCGTGTGGCCCCACAGAAGGTCTCCTCTGGTTATTGACCCACTACATATACACGTGTGTAAATATCCAACTCATTTATCCACTCATTAACTCACCCACTCATTTACCTATCCACTCACCTATTCACCTGCCTACTCACCCACCTACACACTCACCGACTCGCCAACACTACACACTAACTCGCCTACACACCGACTCGCCTACACGCTCACCCACTCACCTACACGCTCACCGACTCGCCAACACGCTCACCCACTCACCTATTCACTCGCCTACCCACTCGCGTAATTCACCTCCCCACTCGTCTCCTCACCCAGGATCCCCTCCTCTGCATCCCGGCCTCTAACAGAGGCACCTGCTCGTGCTGCTCTCCCGGCCCTTCCGCCGGCAATCTCGGCCCACGTGGGGTGGCCGAGTCTCTCCAGACTCGCGGCGGCTTCAGTTTTAACAGCAAACAAATCGAGCGAAGAAGCCACGAGGAGGTGGTGGTGCGACCTCGAGGCACGAGCAAATTCTGTGCGCGACGCACCTCGGACGGCGTGGGGAGCGGTGGCGCGGTGGTGAACTGCGCCGACCAACTCCACCGGCGACAACATGAGCTCAAATTCCCAGCCCACGGCTCTCATCAGTGGCGACCGCTCTGTGTGATCCTCGGCGCGCTAATTCTGGGCCCTATTCCCACCACCACCGCTCCTCCGGCGAGGATCTCTCTGGTGACAGCAGCAGCAGCAGCAGCGGGGGTTGTTGTCCAGGAGCTCCGTACCAATGTGCAGGTCCTCCTGCCGCTGTCGCGACGGGAGAGAGGGCTTCAGGCTTCGGCAGGGAGAGAGAGAGAGACTCCGTGTTGTGTCGCTGTTCCTCTGCTGCAGCAGCGCAGGCCACAGCGGCTTCGCTGTGACCCACGGCGTGGCCACAATGGTCGCGCCGCTGTGACCCGTGTCGGTCATGTTCCCATTCATGAAGCTGTGGCACGGCGATGTTCTGATGCGGTTGGTTGTTACACCACTGGTGAGTGGGTGGGTGAGTGAGTGGGTGGGTGAGTGGGTGAGTTGCTGGTTACACTACGAGTGAGTGAGTGGGTGAGTGAGTGGGTGAGTGGGTGGGTGGGTGTGCACTTGTGGCTGCGTGTGCACGTGTGTACGTTTGTACGTAAGGATGCGTGTGTACGTGTGCACGTGTGTAGGTGTGCACGTGTGTACGTGCGGCTGCGTGAGCACGCGGTGACGCGATTGCTCCTGTGGGTGTTGAAGGGAAGTTGTCGCAAACCGCCTCCAGGAAACTCGTCCGGCTTTGTGAGTTTTCCCCGCACTCGAACTCGGACTCGATCTCGAACTCGGCCGGGCGAGTTGAGCGGCGCTCGCTCGCCATGGACTCCCGCTGGGCTCGCTCGCTCGCCATCGTCCTCGGTGAGTGGCCGCATCCCCAGAGCCGCTCGACTCCCGCGCGGAGCCACCGCGCCCCGCCCGCCCGCTCGGTGTGACCCACACGGAGACGCACATCGCGGCGTGCTGCTCGGTCCCAGGCGGTCGCTTTAGAGGACCCCCCACCCGGCTGCCCCAGACCGGCGCTGATCGTAGCCCGACCCGAGCGGGCGGCTGCCCCGCGCGACGCCGAGCCGCTCCGCGATGATGATGATGTGGATGTTGTTGATGTTGTTGATGTTGTTGTGGATGTTGTTAATGTTGTTGTGGATGTTGTTGATGATGTTGATGTTGTTGTCGGCTATGACCTGAGGCTGTCGAGGCAACGAGGGAAGAGCGCCCGAGTTGTCGCCTGCGGGGTCGTTCTTCATCCTGACGCTCGCGCTCCACGCGGTCGTTTGTTTTTTGAACGAAGCGATTTGTTTTTAATTCAGAGTGCACCTCTGAAGCATCGTGCAGTGCGTGTGAAAGTGAGTGTGTGTGTGTGTGAAAGTGAGTGTGCGTGTGTGAAAGTGAGTGTGTGTGTGTGAAAGTGAGTGTGTGTGTGTGAAAGTGAGTGTGCGTGTGTGAAAGTGAGTGTGTGCGTGTGAAAGTGAGTGTGTGTGTGTGAAAGTGAGTGTGTGTGTGTGTGAAAGTGTGTGTGTGTGAAAGTGAGTGTGTGTGAAAGTGAGTGTGAAAGTGAGTGTGCGTGTGAAAGTGAGTGTGAAAGTGAGTGTGTGTGTGTGTGAGTGTGTGTGAAAGTGAGTGTGCGTGTGTGTGTGTGAAAGTGAGTGTGCGTGTATGAAAGTGTGTGCGTGTGAAAGTGAGTGTGTGTGAAAGTGAGTGTGTGAAAGTGAGTGTGTGTGTGTGAAAGTGTGTGTGTGTGAAAGTGAGTGTGTGTGAAAGTGAGTGTGAAAGTGAGTGTGCGTGTGAAAGTGAGTGTGTGTGAGTGTGTGTGTGAGTGTGCGTGTGAAAGTGAGTGTGCGTGTGTGAAAGTGAGTGTGCGTGTGAAAGTGAGTGTGTGAGTGTGTGTGAAAGTGAGTGTGTGTGAAAGTGAGTGTGTAAGTGAGTGTGCGTGTGTGCTCGTACATTGCGCATGGAACTGGAGGGAAATTCCGACGCGACTCGGTGCGTGCGGTGAGCCCACATCACCGCTCCCTACCCGCGGGCGGAGGAAGCGTGCAGACGAGTCGATAGCTCGTCGAGTTTCCTGCTCAGATCCCCACTCGCAAAGCGCCGGCACGGCCGGAGTGGGGCCGACGTGAAGAAGTCGACCCAGGACCCGTGCCCATCACACACACAAAGAACCCCCCCCCCGTGTAGCCGTGAGCAGGCTGCTGTTGGGGCAAGCGCTCTTAGCGGGCAGCACCGGTCACGGCCGACCCGGCACCCGATGATGATGATGCGGCGGCGTGGCGAGCACAACGCTCAGTCCCCGAACCAGGTACTCAGTTGAGGCCGCGTCGACCTAGGGGAGGCCCAGGACCGGTTCAGATATTCTAACCACTGCACCACCGCTCGCACGCAGCCAGCCAATAAGACCGCACTCAAATCTTCTACACGCTGACACACACGCGCACACGCACACACACACGCACGTGTGTGTGGCGTTAGAGAGGTGCGAGTCTGTGTGCATGCGTGTGTGTGCGTGCATGTGTGTGCATGTGTGTATGTATGTGCGTGTGTGCGTGCGTGTGTGTGTGCATGCATGTGTGTGCATGTGTGTGTGTGGGCATGCGCGTGTCTGTGTGCATTCGTGTGTGCGTGTGTGTGTGTGCATGCGTGTGTGTGTTCGTGTGTGCATGCGTGTGTGCGTGTGCATGCGTGTGTGCATGCGTGTGTGTGCGCGCGTGTGTGTGTGCATGCGTGTGTGCGTGCGCGTGTGTGTGTGCATGCGTGTGTGCGCGTGCGTGTGTGTGTGGTGCACTTGGCCTGGCACAAGCATCGTGGTGACGTCACCGCCACTTAGTGGCGAATGGCGGTTGTTGTTGTATGTGCATGCGTGTGTGTGTGCATGTGCGTGTGTGGAGCCGTAGTGCGCAACCCGCTCACGGCCACCACCACAGTGACAGCGATTACCTGAACCGGTCCTGGGCCTCCCCTAGGTCGACTCAGCCTCACACGAGTCCCTGGTGCGGCGTGGACTGTGGTCTGGGATGTGACCCAATGGCGAATTCATTTGTTTTGATGACGCTTTTGTTGTTGGCGTCTTTTTGGTTTGGTGCCTTTTCTTAATTAGTTTATTAACTTTTGAGTTTGCCTGGTTGCAGTAGGGGTTTCATTTGCTTGGTGTTTATGGGATTTGGTCTCATATATGACGCGATATACAATGCAAGTATTGTTATCATCGCCGGGGAGACGAAGGCGGCCGGGCGTGGTGCTGGCCACCCACCCCCTCGTGTGCCGTGCCGGCCTTCATAGGTGCTGCTCGCTAACAGCACTTGCCCCACAAGTCTGTTACAGGCTACACGGGGGTCTTTGTCTTTGTAGGGGACCGGCGATGTTGATTGGGGGTGGGGGCACCGCTCCGGGCGATGCGCGTCCACGCTCACCACAGGCTCATCAACGTCCTCATCATCACTGGCATCGCATCATCATTGCATCATCGTCGGCATCATCATCACTGACATCATCATCGTCGGCATCATGATCAGCGCATCATCATCATCATTGCATCATCATATCATCATCATTGCATCATCATATCATCATCATTGCATCATCGTCATATCATCATCATCGCATCATCATCACCGCTATCATCATCATCATTGCATCATCATCATTGCATCATCATTATCATTGCATCATCATCATCATTGCATCATCATCATTGCATCATCATCATCACTGGCATCGCATCATCATCATCACTGGCATCGCATCATCATCACTGGCATCGCATCATCATCACCATCATCATCACCATCATCACCATCATCGGCATCATCATCATCATCGGCATCATCATCATCACCACATCATCATCATCGTCGGCATCATCATCACATCATCATCATTGCATCATCGTCGTCGTTGGGACCTCACGCCGCTGGCTGAACGCTCCTTACAATGAACACGCGGTGGGGGGGGGGAGACGTTCTGATTCATGTTAAACGCGGGGCTCTCGTTCAACAGTGATTGCCATGGCACTGCTGATGATGATGATGATGATTGCCATGGCACTGCTGATGATGATTGCCGTGCCACTACTGCTGCTGCTGATCACATGTCCGCGCCTCCCTCCCCGCGCCACGCGCAGCAGCAGCAGCAGTGAGCTGCGTGGTCTCCAGCGGGCGCGCCACCCAGCCGGTGGTGGTGGTGGCCGTGGAGGGCACCAGCGTCACCCTCAACTGCAGCGCTACGCTCCCTCTCGAGGGCTCTCAGAAGAATCCGCAATTCGTGTGGAAATTCTCTGCGGCCAACTCGCAAGACGCGGCCAAGTGGGTGAGTTCGGGCCCGTGCCAAGGGCGCTGAATGTCGCGGTGGACAGACGGAACCGGGGACTCGTGCGGTGCCGGGTGGTCTATAAACAATGTGGAGATCTCGACACTTGAGACGCGTAGAGCGACACGGGGACGACCACTTCTCGAGACAAAGACAGGCGTCGTGTGTGCCAGTCTCTCTCTGATTCCACTCTCTCTGATTCTAATCTCGCTCTGATTCCAATCTCGCTCTGATTCCAATCTCGCTCTGATTCCAATCTCGCTCTGATTCCAATCTCGCTCTGAGTCCACTCTCGCTCTGATTCCAATCTCGCTCCGATTCCAATCTCGCTCTGATTCCAATCTCGCTCTGATTCCAATCTCGCTCTGATTCCAATCTCGCTCTGATTCCAATCTCGCTCTGATTCCAATCTCGCTCTGATTCCAATCTCGCTCTGATTCCAATCTCGCTCTGATTCCAATCTCGCTCTGATTCCAGTCTTTCTCTGATTCCGGTCTTTCTCTGATTGCAGTCTTTCTCTGATTCCAATCTCGCTCTGATTCCAATCTCGCTCTGATTCCAATCTCGCTCTGATTCCAATCTCGCTCTGATTCCAATCTCGCTCTGATTCCAATCTCGCTCTGATTCCAATCTCGCTCTGATTCCAATCTCGCTCTGATTCCAATCTCGCTCTGATTCCAGTCTTTCTCTGATTCCGGTCTTTCTCTGATTGCAGTCTTTCTCTGATTCCAATCTCGCTCTGATTCCAATCTCGCTCTGATTCCAATCTCGCTCTGATTCCAATCTCGCTCTGATTCCAATCTCGCTCTGATTCCAATCTCGCTCTGATTCCAATCTCGCTCTGATTCCAATCTCGCTCTGATTCCAGTCTTTCTCTGATTCCAGTCTTTCTCTGATTCCGGTCTTTCTCTGATTCCAGTCTTTCTCTGATTGCAGTCTTTCTCTGATTGCAGTCTTTCTCTGATTGCAGTCTTTCTCTGATTCCGGTCTTTCTCTGATTCCAGTCTTTCTCTGATTCTAGTCTTTCTCTGATTCCAGTCTTTCTCTGATTCCAGTCTTTCTCTGATTCCGGTCTTTCTCTGATTCCAGTCTTTCTCTGATTCCAGTCTTTCTCTGATTCCGGTCTTTCTCTGATTCCAGTCTTTCTCTGATTCCGGTCTTTCTCTGATTCCGGTCTTTCTCTGATTCCAGTCTTTCTCTGATTCCGGTCTTTCTCTGATTCCGGTCTTTCTCTGATTCCAGTCTTTCTCTGATTCCGGTCTTTCTCTGATTCCGGTCTTTCTCTGATTCCAGGTCTTTCTCTGATTCCGGTCTTTCTGATTCCGGTCTTTCTCTGATTCCGGTCTTTCTCTGATTCCAGTCTTTCTCTGATTCCGGTCTTTCTCTGATGCCGGTCTTTCTCTGATTCCAGTCTTTCTCTGATTCCGGTCTTTCTCTGATTCCGGTCTTTCTCTGATTCCGGTCTTTCTCTGATTCCGGTCTTTCTCTGATTCCAGGTCTTTCTCTGATTCCAGTCTTTCTCTGATTCCAGTCTTTCTCTGATTCCAGTCTTTCTCTGATTCCAGTCTTTCTCTGATTCCGGTCTTTCTCTGATTCCAGTCTTTCTCTGATTCCAGTCTTTCTCTGATTCCGGTCTTTCTCTGATTCCTGTCTTTCTCTGATTCCAGTCTTTCTCTGATTCCAGGTCTTTCTCTGATTCCAGTCTTTCTCTGATTCAGTCTTTCTCTGATTCCAGTCTTTCTCTGATTCCGTCTGATTCCGGTCTTTCTCTGATTCCAGTCTTTCTCTGATTCCAGTCTTTCTCTGATTCCGGTCTTTCTCTGATTCCAGTCTTTCTCTGATTCCAGTCTTTCTCTGATTCCAGTCTTTCTCTGATTCCGGTCTTTCTCTGATTCCAGTCTTTCTCTGATTGCAGTCTTTCTCTGATTCCAGTCTTTCTCTGATTCCGGTCTTTCTCTGATTCCAGTCTTTCTCTGATTCCAGTCTTTCTCTGATTCCGGTCTTTCTCTGATTCCGGTCTTTCTCTGATTCCAGTCTTTCTCTGATTCCAGTCTTTCTCTGATTCCGGTCTTTCTCTGATTCCAGTCTTTCTCTGATTCCGGTCTTTCTCTGATTCCGGTCTTTCTCTGATTCCGGTCTTTCTCTGATTCCAGTCTTTCTCTGATTCCGGTCTTTCTCTGATTCCAGTCTTTCTCTGATTCCAGTCTTTCTCTGATTCCAGTCTTTCTCTGATTCTAGTCTTTCTCTGATTCCAGTCTTTCTCTGATTCCGGTCTGCTCCAATCCTCTGTCCGGGCTGCCCCATCGCAGATCATCCGGCACCAGGCTGGGGACTCGTGCGTGGCTCCCACGCGGCTCGCGAGCCGCATCGCGTGGAGCGGCGGGAAGCCCTCGCTCGACGCGGCGCACCTCGTGCTCGACCCCGTGTCCGCCCGCGACGCGGGGACGTTCAGCTGCAACGTCGCCGGGACGACCGTCGGCTCGACCCTCCTCGTCACGGCGCCCGCACCGACAGCAGCAGCGCCAACACCAGCAGCAGCGCCATCACCAGCAGCAGCGCCACCAGCAGCTGGTGAGTGTGGCTCTTCGCAGGGATTGCCTGGACCACCAAAGGGAGTAGACGCAGGCATACGCCCCGACTAGTCGACGCCTCCGACATGCGCTTGTCCAATGTTGACCCGCTCTGGCGGTGGTGGCCGTGGTGGTGGCCGTGGTGGTGGCCGTGGTGGTTGCCGTGGTGGCCGTGGTGGTGGCCGTGGTGGTGGCCGTGGTGGTGGCCGTGGTGGTGGCCGTGGTGGTGGCCGTGGTTGTGGCCGTGGTGGTGGCTACGCTGCTGCTGCTGCACGTGGCGGCTGCTGTGAGCCGGCACTGTGGAGGCAGCAGCGAGGGTTGGTGGGTCACTGCACAGACGTTGCGCAACTCCCTTCTCCACGTGGACATCGTCGAGGAGTCGTGCCCTGGCTCGCCAGGGGAAGGCTGATGTAGCGCCACGGCTGTAACTTCTAATTGAGGTGGCTGAGCCAGGCGATGCTGAAGCGGGAGGCTGATGTAGCGCCACGGATGTAACTTCTAATTGAGGTGGCTGAGCCAGGCGATGCTGAAGCGGGAGGCTGATGTAGCGCCACGGATGTAACTTCTAATTGAGGTGGCTGAGCCAGGCGATGCTGAAGCGGGAGGCTGATGTAGCGCCACGGATGTAACTTCTAATTGAGGTGGCTGAGCCAGGCGATGCTGAAGCGGGAGGCTGATGTAGCGCCACGGATGTAACTTCTAATTGAGGTGGCTGAGCCAGGCGATGCTGAAGCGGGAGGCTGATGTAGCGTCGCTGTGGGGTGGCCGTGCCGTGTCCGTGCGGGCGCGCAGATCTCCAATGCTGCACCGTGGCCCTGGCCGTCGTCTCCTGCTTCCTCTGCCTCTTCTCCGGGATCCTCACCGCGCTGCTGCTGCGCAGGACCCGCTGCTGCTGCGGCTGCCTCTGTCAATGAGCTGGGCGCGACGAGACCGACTCCCGACTCGACCCCTCAACCCTCGGCCCCTCAACCATCGGCCAGAGCCCCTCCCGAGGATAATGGTGCAAATCATCGGGGGCGACTGGCCCGGGCCCCGCGATTCGGGGGGCCGTGCTTCGCCGTCACGACGTCAGATGTAATGCTACCGGTTTATATTTTTAAGGCGTTGTGGGGGGGGGGGGGCACGCGGGGAGATTTTCCCCAGCCACCCCCCCCCCTTGAACGGCCCTGCTCTCAGCCTGCCTACAGCTCTTCCTGGACGGCTGTAGAAAGACGGCTGTAGAAAGACGGCTGTAGAAAGACGGCTGTAGAAAGACGGCTGTAGAAAGACGGCTGTAGAAAGAGCTTTAACGCTTATCGGATTCCGCCAGTCTACTCTGATAGAAGCGCACGACTTTATCTGCGATGAGCGCTGCACTTTACGTCGTTGTCACGCAGGGGGCGCTGCGAACATCCACGCGCCCCCCGCACGATCGACGGAGGCGCAGGGGCAGACGCTCGATCACGGTGGAATCGATCTGCAGGCGGCGGCGGTCTCCTCGCACGGCGAGCAGCTCCGTGTCGCCTCATCTCGAGCCCGCAATCCCATGAAGGTGAAAGTCCGCATCGAACCGAACCCCCAGCAAGGCCATCTACTTAACGACGAGAGAAAATTCACACGAAATGTCATTTTCAATGAGGTATTTTAATGAAGAAATAAAATTGTCTAATTCAAAACATAATACAATTCAAAGATGTTTCATTTTAAAACTTCACAACGGGGCATCGGATGCTTGCGTGAATGCGTCGTTCGTGTGCAACTTTTTTCGTGACTTCCCTGGCCGAAGGCCGTAATTGGTTGTTCGTGGATGCCTGTGGATGCCTGTGGCTTCCACGAACAAGCCCGAGTGGGTGAATATTCTCTGATTGTGATTCTCCTACCCCGAAGGCGATCTACCCGTGACTGTAGCCATGTACAGCAGCGTCATTTCTTGCGTGAACACTCATGTCTTGAGAATAGATGTTTGTGTTTAGTTTGTTGTCCTTCCCCCGCATCTCCGACTAGCACGGTTGGCTACGTACGGTGCGAAAGAAGTTCAACGTACACACGTAATACCTTTGATGTCACGTGACGACGTTGCTCGTATCCCCGGTCAGAGGATACGTTTGAGATGCATTTTGGGTAATTTCTTCAATTACGGTTTGAGATTTTGGAAATGAATAAAACAACGTTCTAAATATATGTAACCTGTGTGGCTATGTACTTGTTAAATTGTGCATATTTTCACACTTCAGTATTATAAGGAGAACCTCTTTATTTTCTTTTGAACATATTTTTTATAAAGTGGGGAGGTATGATGGAGAGCCTTCACGTGAACACGATCACTAATCGATTCGTTTCGGTGTGATCGATCCCGTGTAATCGATTCCGTGTGATCGAGTCGGCGTGGCACGTCACCGATGTTAGAATCGGCTCGGAGTGGCGCAGGTGAGACGCTGAATGAGGGAGCTCCTTCAACATGTGACTTGTAACCGTGAGATGAACACTCGAATCTAAATTAATTGATGAGGATAAAGTAATAATTAGTCCTAAAGTGCGTACTACCCAGAAACCTGTACAATGGTAGTGGCGCACTTAGAGGCACGAGGAGCAGTAGGCACGAACAGCCTTCACAGTTCACAAGGGATGACGACAGCCCCCGGTCAGCACAGCTGGCGGACTGCCCGACTGACGACGCCGACGAGGTGAAGAGGCAGACGAAGACTCCAGCGGCGCGACGAGGGGGTCCCTTTTATCCTCCCGGCGTGACCTCGCTCCACCCCCGGCCACGACCCCTTCTAGAACCCGGGCTCCCCTCACGTGCCCCCCCCTGTGACCTTTGCCCTGCAACCCTCTCCCTGGCTTGTCACGTGACCTGCTGACAGTCAGGGCTTCTGCAACTGCAGATCCCCTTCCCTGCCAGCAACCCGCGCTATGCCGCGTCGTGACCCATTCCATGTCACTACACAGTTAAGGATTGGGAGAGTCAATTTGGTTGTGAGAGTTTTAAAAGGTTAAAACCTGCAATTATTCCCTAATGCGCAGGGATTTTATCAGTGAGGCGTGGGGCGTGAAGTTGACAGCACATTTGGTCGTTTCAGATGGTCCGACATCCTCGTGTGCTAGAGGGGCCGGTGCAATAAAGCGACCGCGTGTAAACGGAGTCTCCTCCTGGATTCCGTGTGTCCGAGCGCGGAGAACAAGAAGATCACTCCGGAGAACTGTCGGTTTTTAGTTAGTGATTGTTGACCGCCCCCACTGTGCCCAAGAGGACGATCACGACCAGGAAGAACCGAGGCACAGTGGGCACGGGTCGAACTTCCATTGTTTCTATTTAGGCCTTGGGTTTGTGGGGGCCTGGGGTAGCTGATCGTTGTTCGTATTCCATTTCTGTTGTGAACTACTTCTCAGTAATTAGATCTCGCAAACATTCGTCTGCTGCTCCCACTTTTGTGATGACGGCCACAGTTATACCACCTGCCAATGTTAGTCGATGGGCATTGTTAGTCTATGGGCAGTGTTAGTCTATGGGCAATGTTAGTCTATGGGCAATGTGAGTCTATGGGCAATGTGAGTCTATGGGCAATGTTAGTCTATGGGCAATGTTAGTCTATGGGCAATGTTAGTCTATGGGCAATGTTAGTCTATGGGCAGTGTGAGTCTATGGGCAATGTTAGTCTATGGGCAATGTTAGTCTGTGGGCAATGTTAGTCTATGGGCAATGTGAGTCTATGGGCAATGTGAGTCTATGGGCAATGTGAGTCTATGGGCAATGTGAGTCTATGGGCAATGTTAGTCTATGGGCAATGTGAGTCTATGGGCAATGCTAGTCTATGGGCAATGTTAGTCTATGGGTAATGTTAGTCTATGGGCAGTGTTAGTCTATGGGCAATGCTAGTCTATGGGCAGTGTTAGTCTATGGGCAGTGTTAGTCTATGGGCAGTGTTAGTCTATGGGCAACGTTAGTCTATGGGCAGTGTTAGTCTATGGGCAATGTTAGTCTATGGGCAATGTTAATCTATGGGCAATGTTAGTCTATGGGCACGTGCCTGCCGCGGGTGGCCCAGGGTGGCCACTGGGCTGACCACCCTGGGCCCGGGCTCATTGCTCGCTGTACGAGACCAGAAGAGAAGAGGGAACTTGTGCCGGCGGGGACGCACAGCGCGGAGATGGAGCGACGACATTGGCTCTCGGAGCTCGAATATTCCTACAACTCGCATCGCGGGACCGTTTGGTGATGGCTACGGCTTGGGGATGCCTTCATCCAGCAGTGGATCAACAGAGCCGCCTTGTGGCAGTGCCCCGGCTCCCCAGGAGAAGGCGCTATAGCAGAGTGCGGACTAATCTCCATCTGCGGACGGGATAGAGTGTTTCCCCCTCGCCCGCACGCGTGGGTATTATCCACTTGCTTCGGTTTCCTCCCACATGTAGACACACCCGTTAATATAGTCCGATAACGCCGTCGTGTAGACAGGACCGCAGAGCTTGGGCAACGGTCGGTGGTGCCGGCTCCCCGCTCCTCGCCTGTGGCCCCTCCTCCTCCTGCCGCTTGAGCCCCCCCCCACCCCCCACCGCTCTCTCGCTCCACAGGGCGGCGCGGCGCTCCGAGGCGGCGTTGCTTCAACTCGGAGTTTCATTTCCCGTTCGTCGCCACGAGGGGGCGATGGACACACGTCGGCTCAGGCGTGCGGAGCGGCGCCCATTGGAGCCGCGGGGGTTGGGGGAATCCCCGTCTCGGTGACCCGCCACAACACGTCACCACGCGCCACAACACGTCACCTCGCGTCACAACACGGGACCACGCGTCACAACACGTGGCCACGCGCCACAACACGTCACCACGCGTCACAACACGTGGCCACGCGTCACAACACGTGGCCACGCGCCACAACACGTGGCCACGCGACACAACACGTGGCCACGCGACACAACACGTCACCACGCGTCACAACACGTGGCCACGCGTCACAACACGTGGCCACGCGCCACAACACGTGGCCACGCGACACAACACGTGGCCACGCGCCACAACACGTGGCCACGCGACACAACACGTGGCCACGCGTCACAACACGTGGCCACGCGCCACAACACGTGGCCACGCGACACAACACGTGGCCACGCGCCACAACACGTCACCACGCGTCACAACACGTGGCCACGCGTCACAACACGTGGCCACGCGCCACAACACGTGGCCACGCGACACAACACGTGGCCACGCGACACAACACGTCACCACGCGTCACAACACGTCACCACGCGCCACAACACGTCACCACGCGTCACAACACGTCACCACGCGCCACAACACGTCACCACGCGTCACAACACGTGGCCACGCGACACAACACGTGGCCACGCGACACAACACGTCACCACGCGTCACAACACGTGGCCACGCGCCACAACACGTGGCCACGCGACACAACACGTGGCCACGCGACACAACACGTGGCCACGCGCCACAACACGTGGCCACGCGACACAACACGTGGCCACGCGCCACAACACGTCACCACGCGTCACAACACGTGGCCACGCGTCACAACACGTGGCCACGCGCCACAACACGTGGCCACGCGACACAACACGTGGCCACGCGACACAACACGTCACCACGCGTCACAACACGTCACCACGCGCCACAACACGTCACCACGCGTCACAACACGTCACCACGCGCCACAACACGTCACCACGCGTCACAACACGTGGCCACGCGACACAACACGTGGCCACGCGACACAACACGTCACCACGCGTCACAACACGTGGCCACGCGCCACAACACGAGGCCACGCGACACAACACGTCACCACGCGTCACAACACGTGGCCACGCGACACAACACGTGGCCACGCGTCACAACACGTGGCCACGCGTCACAACACGTCACCACGCGACACAACACGTCACCACGCGTCACAACACGTCACCACGCGTCACAACACGTGGCCACGCGCCACAACACGTGGCCACGCGACACAACACGTCACCACGCGTCACAACACGTGGCCACGCGACACAACACGTGGCCACGCGTCACAACACGTGGCCACGCGTCACAACACGTCACCACGCGTCACAACACGTCACCACGCGTCACAACACGTGGCCACGCGTCACAACACGTGGCCACGCGTCACAACACGTGGCCACGCGTCACAACACGTGGCCACGCGACACAACACGTCACCACGCGTCACAACACGTGGCCACGCGACACAACACGTGACCACGCGTCACAACACGTGGCCACGCGTCACAACACGTGGCCACGCGACACAACACGTGGCCACGCGACACAACACGTGACCACGCGACACAACACGTGGCCACGCGACACAACACGTGACCACGCGACACAACACGTGACCACGCGACACAACACGTGGCCACGCGACACAACACGTGGCCACGCGTCACAACACGTGGCCAAGCGACACAACACGTGGCCACGCGACACAACACGTGACCACGCGACACAACACGTGGCCACGCGACACAACACGTGGCCACGCGACACAACACGTGACCACGCGACACAACACGTGGCCACGCGACACAACACGTGGCCACGCGACACAACACGTGACCACGCGACACAACACGTGACCACGCGACACAACACGTGGCCACGCGACACAACACGTGACCACGCGACACAACACGTGGCCACGCGACACAACACGTGGCCACGCATCACAACACGTGGCCACGCGACACAACACGTGACCACGCGTCACAACACGTGGCCACGCGACACAACACGTGGCCACGCGTCACAACACGTGACCACGCGACACAACACGTGGCCACGCGACACAACACGTGGCCACGCATCACAACACGTGGCCACGCGACACAACACGTGACCACGCGTCACAACACGTCACCACGCGTCACAACACGTCACCACGCGCCACAACACGTGGCCACGCGACACAACACGTGGCCACGCGACACAACACGTGGCCACGCGTCACAACACGTCACCACGCGTCACAACACGTCACCACGCGCCACAACACGTGGCCACGCGTCACAACACGTGGCCACGCGTCACAACACGTGGCCACGCGACACAACACGTGGCCACGCGTCACAACACGTGGCCACGCGTCACAACACGGGGCCACGCGTCACAACACGTGGCCACGCGTCACAACACGGGGCCACGCGTCACAACACGTGGCCACGCGTCACAACACGTGGCCACGCGTCACAACACGGGGCCACCCACTCCGCCACCGGGGAGTTCGTGACAGCGCCATGCCTCGTGGCTATGGGACGTGTTTGTTCCTGTTGCCTCTTGCTCATCAGATGCCACTCGTGAAACTGTTCCCGCGCCCTCTTCACACAACGGGTGATGAGGAATCGAGTGAAACGTCCATAATAGAACTTGTTGGTCGTTAGAACGCGATCTAAGCTAAAACAACCTTCCTTCTAGATGATATTGGTCGCGAAAGCCGACGTGTGAACCCCACGTTGAACGTGTCAGTCATTCTCTTCGGGCCCCAGGCTGTCAACAATATCCACTCCAATATAATAATAGGAAATATCCACTCCATCTCTCGATCGGCCTCTCGGCTCGTGTACTATGAAGACGGGCCATCGCCTGCTATATCATACACTGCGTGTGTATTACGTGTGTGTTTGTGTAACGTGTCTGTGTGTGCACCAAGGCCGTAGCCATGGAGTCAACATTGGGGGGACCAAATCTTCGAGGGTGTCTGGGGGTCCCAACCCAGGAAAAAAATATCTAAATTTGAAAACTCATTTCCTGCCTAAAATAAAAAAAAATTCAATAACACGCGGGATGGACTTTTTTTTATTTTTTACAATGTCTAATAGTGTATTGTATTTCACTGCTCTGTTTTAACTTTTTTTTGACCATTTCCTGTTTTATGGTATGTAATGGCAGAGATTAGGGATTCATAAAGTACAACCATAACCACAATCATATAAACATAAATCTATGCGTTGATTTATATGAGGACAGGTCCAGATATTGTGGCCAAGGTTTAGCAAATTGTTGTTTTTATTTACATAGCATAGCAATTATGTTTTTATAGCAATATATTGGGGTGGGGGACATTTTGAGCATATTTGAATATTGGGGGGGGGGGGATGTGGGGGGGATGTGCCCCCCCTCATATATATTATAATTACGGCCTTTGGTGTGTACTGTGCGGAGAGTGGAACGGTATACAATGTTCCGTTTCGGGCAGGGGTCGAGAACTATCTTTCTGGCCCCTCTCTTTGTGCCATGCAAAAGCAGCATTGCCCGAAACGTCACCGATTCCAAGTCCTTAAGGCTACAGCGCTATTGCCACTGAACGCGTTGAGTCCATCAGCCACGTTACTTGAAATGTGATGTTTCTCAGAGAAACTACTTTACCATTTGCGTGTTCATGATTTATTTGCAATATATTATTTAATCCTAATCCTCACTTTTGCTAAATATTTAAAAGATAACTTTGTGAAACACTCTACATGTGAGTGTTCGCCATGTTTCCCTCTTCATTGTGTATTTGTCGATATTTGACTTGCGACCTCTGGTGCACGTGTTTCGCTTTCCTGGTAACCGACTCTGCTTTCGTTGATGAAGCCGATGCAAGAGCTTCTTAGGCCACAAGGTTCTTCAAAATAGACAAAAACTTTACTGACACGTGACTTATTCTAGCCAGCTGTGGATAGACCACGGCTGGTCATCAGCCACGTGACGTGTTCAGGCCAGCAGTGGATAGACCACGGCTGGTCTATCAGCCACGTGACGTGTTCAGGCCAGTTGTGGATAGACCACGGCTGGTGAATCAGCCACGTGACGTGTTCAGGCCAGCAGTGGATAGACCATGGCTGGTCATCAGCCACGTGACGTGTTCAGGCCAGCTGTGGATAGACCACGGCTGGTCCATCAGCCACGTGACGTGTTCAGGCCAGCTGTGGATAGACCACGGCTGGTCATCAGCCACGTGACGTGTTCAGGCCAGCTGTGGATAGACCACGGCTGGTCATCAGCCACGTGACGTGTTCAGGCCAGCAGTGGATAGACCACGGCTGGTACATCAGCCACGTGACGTGTTCAGGTCAGCAGTGGCTAGACCACGGCTGGTACATCAGCCACGTGACGTGTTCAGGCCAGCTGTGGATAGACCACGGCTGGTACATCAGCCACGTGACGTGTTCAGGCCAGCAGTGGATAGACCACGGCTGGTCATCAGCCACGTGACGTGTTCAGGCCAGCTGTGGATAGACCACGGCTGACGTTCGAGTTGCGACGCGGTCGCAGAGACCACGCCCACTCACTGGGTGACGTCACCGCCCGGGTCTCTTTAAAAGGACGCGCCCCTCAGTCTGCACAGAGAGAAGAGCCAGAGGAGAGACACGTGGAGAGACACACAGAGACACACAGAGAGACAAAGAGACACGTGGAGAGACAGAGAGACACGTGGAGACAGACAGAGAGACACGTGGAGACAGACAGAGAGACACGTGGAGACAGAGAGACCCGTGGAGACAGACAGAGAGACACGTGGAGACACAGAGAGAGACCCGTGGAGAGACACGTGGAGACACACAGAGAGAGACACGAAGAGACACGTGCAGACACAGGGACACTGGGAGACGGAATGGAGGGCGCTCTGCTCGTGTTGCTGCTCGCGACGGGTGAGTGTCGGCGCGGAGGATCCGTCTTCGTTGTGCTGTGCGCGCGTGTCTGTGTGCTCACCTGGCCGGGTACATGTGCACCTAGCCTGGTACAAAGTGTTTTGGTGGAGGCCTATTGTTGTATAGACGTGGTGCATGAATTTGTACATGGGATGCACACACGCGTGTGTGTGTGTCCTGCATTAAATGCATACAAACCCAAAGACAAAGGTCCCCCGGAAAGTCTTAACAGATCATTGTGGCAAACGGTGCTAGCGAGCACGTGATGATGGTTGGCACGGCACGCCAGGTGGCGGGTGGCCAGCACCTCGCCCGGCGGCCTTTGTCTCCCGAGATGCGATGTTTACTCATCACACCAGGTACTTATTTGAGGCCGAGTCTATCTAGGGGAGGCCCAGGACCTGGTTCAGATAATCATAACTGGTGTTGGCCGTGAGCCGGATTCGTAGCGCAGTGCGCTAATCACTGCGCCACCGCTCCCCACACCCTACACCTGCACACGCAGCACATGCATCGCGTGCGACATCAGCTGCATGCTCGTGTGTACACGTGTGTGTGTACACGTGTGTGTGTACGCGTGTGTGTGTACACGTGTGTGTGTACACGTGTGTGTGTACGTGTGTGTGTGTACGTGTGTGTGTGTACGCGTGTGTGTGTGTACACGTGTGTGTGTACGTGTGTATGTGTACGTGTGTGTGTACGCGTGTGCAAATCGTACAGGTCGACGTGCAATTCAACATATTCGTTAATATCCCTGTGGCTGGCGACGTTTCGAGCAATGACCCTCCTTCTTGGCAACTTAAACGAATAAGGGTCATTGCCTGAAACGTCGCCCATTATTTATTGTCTTTTAAGGCGACGACCGGGTGAATGTAGACACGGCTCGTGTTGAGTTGTCTGTGCACCGCTGCCAACGCAGCAGCAGCAGTAGCAGCGGCAGTAGCAGCAGCAGTAGCAGCAGTAGCAGCAGCAGCGCCAGATTCTGTTGCACACGGGTATGATAGCGCTTGCTATCAGCACACGTGTACTGTGTATGCTCTGCATCCGTGTACATGCTATGCACACGCGTGTGCTGTGTACACGCACATGTGCTGTGTACATGCGTGTGTGCACACCACATGCTATGCACACGCGTGTGCGGTGTACACGCACATTACAATGCACGCAGGTGTAGCAGCGCACGGGGCCTTCATCCAGCAGTGGGTTGGCCATGACTGACGATGTTTCTGTTCGTGCCCTCGCTGCACAACAAAGGCCTCCCGTGTAGCCTTCTACAGGCTGTTGGGGCAAGTGTCGTTAGTGAGTAGCAGCAGCAGCAGCGCCGATGACGGCCGCCGGCACGATGGCACCACCCCAGGGGGTGGTGGGGTCCAGGGCCACGCCCGACCACCTCCATCTCTCCGTGCTGCGGAGTTTCACGCTGCACGCCGCCGCCGCCGCTCCGCCGCACGTGTCCGACTTGTTATTCTGCGTTGTGCTGAGTTGTGAGCTGCCCTGGCGTATGGATCGGGAGCGCTTGGCCATTCACGCGGAATGTGGAACGAAAATCGGAAACGTCCGCGTGGGATAATCGCGGAGGGACGCACGTTTGGAGTGACACCGAGAGAGGAGCACGTGGTTTAGAGGACACCACATTGATCGTCATCGAGCAGTGGACAGACCATGGTGATGATGTTGATGACGACACACGAGTGTACAGCGCCTGCACGTGCTGATGCCGGGTGGGTGTTGTGTGGACAGCTACAACCCCCGCCGCCTTTGTCTTACCAGTACTGATGCTTACGAAACCGCACCAGCTACTGGAATGAGGCTGAGGCGACCTAGGGGAGGTCCAGGAGCGGTTCTGATATCCACTCGCCACTGATGTTAGCCGTGAACGGGAATCGAACTCGGGTTGCAGTGTTCGGGGTGCTGCGCGCTACCTGCTACACGCGCACAAAGACAAAGCTCCCCGTGTAGCCTACACACACGGTGGAGGGCAAGTGCTGTTAGCGAGCGCCTATGAAGGACGGCACGGCACAAAGGGGTAAAGGGCGTGGTCAGAGAAACGCCCGGCCGCCTTTGTCTTCCCATTGTAGATGTTTACACTTTTGCACAATGAAAATGTGCTCCCGTTTAAGGCTGAGTCGACATAGGGGAGAGAGACGGGTTCGGATAACCGCCACTGATGTTAGCCGTGAGCAGGAATTGACCTCTGGTTGCTGGGTTCGTATCGCTGTGCACTAATCACTGCGCCACCGCTCCCCATATCACACACGCAGCCTCGCACACGCCCACAAAGACAAAGATCCCCCGTGTAGCCCACATCGACTGTTGGGGCAAGGGCTGTTAGCGCGCACCTAATTAAGGCCGGCACGGCACACAGGGGGGGTGGGTTGCCAGTACCACGCCCGGCCGCCTTTGTCTTCCTATTGATAATGTTTACACATTGAACCAGGTACTGATTTGAGGCTGAGACACACCCACACACCCCCAATCACACACCCAATCACAGACTCGCACACCCCCAATCACACACACACTCACCCCCACAATCACACACCCCAATCACACACCCAATCACACACTCGCACACCCCCAATCACACACACACTCACCTCCCCACAATCACACACCCCAATCACACACCCACACACCCCCAATCACACACCCACACACACCCAATCACACACCCAATCACACGCACTCACCCCGATAATCACACCCCCAATCACCCCCACCCACACACCCCCAATCACACACTCACACACCCCCAATCACACACCCCCAATCACACACACACACACACACCCCAATCACACACCCCCAATCACACACTCACACACCCACACACACCCCCAATCACACACACACACACCCCCAATCACGCACTCACACACCCCCACAAAGACAGTCACCAACACACACTCGCACACAAAGCCACACCAAACGCGTCTTGCGTTTCCTGGCAACGCATCACTGCAACAGACACGGAGTCGTCTGGGAGCCGCGTCTCAGAGACGATCCCTGCCAATAAACGCCGGGCAGTTCACAAGCACCGGCGTCAGCCCGACTGCTCAGGAGACTCTGAATGTCGAACCCGGCCCAGACTGTTCTCGTATTCACCCGCAGCAGCAGCACGGGCGTGGCGCGTGGCGCTCTATGACCATAAGAAACCACTTAGTTACATAATTTGCGAGCTCAACGATGTAATGGAACGGACACATCAGCAACTAATAAATCAACCGTGATGGATGTATCGATTCGAGTCCAGTCTTTACTCGCCACTGATGTTGGCCTGGGCCGGGAGTCGAACTTGGGGGGGGGGGGGGGGGGCGCCGGGTTTGTCGTGAAGTGCGCCAACCGCTGCGCCACCGCTCGCAATGCCCGAGTGCTCCCCGAACGATGGAACTCGATGATGGTTCTTCTTGGTTCTTTCGGTAAAGTCGCGTAGAATGGAAATAATAAAAATAAAACATCATACAATAATTCTCACGACGTTTCGGCCACAACGCAAGCAGCCGTCCTCAGGTGGAGAACATGTCTGTCGAGAAGACAGAGTCTGAATGACCGAAACGTCGTGAGAATTATTGTATTATGTTTTATTTTTATTATTTAAGTATTTCCATTCTACGTGACTTTACCGAAAGAACCAAGAAGATGAATCCCTGCAGTCACGAAAGCTTTAAATCGAAATCGATGATGGTTGTTCGTTGGTGACTTCTGTCGCGTTTTCGAGATGATGTCGCTGTTTAATGATGCCAATGCTTGATGCATTATGCAGCGTATCAACCTTCTACGGTTGCACGTGGTGATGGTGGCAGCAGCAGCAGCGCCGCAGTGTTGGTGGTTCACGAGCCAGATGCTCAGTGGGGAGGTCCTGCTGCCGCTGCCGCTACCACGAGGAAGGGGCTTCAGCAGAGCGAGAGTTGGTGTCGTTTGGCCGCTCCTCTCCTCCTCCTCCTGCTCCCCCGTTGTAGGAGCGCAGGCCACAGTGTGTTGACTCTGTGCGGTCCATAGTTTGGATGCCATGGCCACAGTCGCACCGCTGTGGGTTGTATCTTTTTGAGTTTCCATCTCGTCGAGGAGATCTCGTGGGTAATCGGCCTGGGGATGCTCTGATGCCGTGGATGGTTCCACGAGTGGCGAGCGACTCGATGAGGCGAGTCGCTGGTTACAGTGGCGGCGACTCAGAGGACGCATGGTAATGTCACAAAGCCAGGGCAGGCGTGCGATGTTCGGCTACAACGGGGCTTCTGGTGGTGGCTCCACCGGCTCCCCGGCTCCACTTAATCTCAAACACAACATCCTGCACGCGGTGCCCTGGGCCCACACCCACTTGATGATAATAATGAGCGACACGGAACTTGAAGCCACTCAACCTCGGGGGTCATCGGCCCACCGTGGGCCCCTCCCAACGGCGGTGCTCCCGGTACCCGGGGAATATGGCCCAACGCCCCGCACGGCGAGAGGGAGAGACACCCTCGGCTTGAACTTCTGCGGCTACGAGGTGGCAAATGTCGCCCTGGCGAGGTACGGACGGGGTCACGCCGGACCGCAGCCCGACCTTTAAATGCCACCTGAAGGTCGTCGTCAAAACAATCCGGAGCCGTCCGCATCCAGAAACGACGGGGCCCAAGCCGCGGGGCACCGTCGGTCGCACGCTTCGCGACGCGTCGCCCTCGACAGGCCGACACCACGGCCAGCCCCGACACGGCACACACACACACGCACACACACACACGCACACACACACACGCACACACACACACGTGGGGCTCGTTCGAGTCGTTTTCAGGAGGGTGCTTGCTACTGCTGCATCATTGGGATTTTATTCGTGAGATGTTTTCAGCCGATAAGTGACGGATCGTGTTTATTATTCGAGGTGGCAGGAAAACGGAGCACGTGGAGAAAATGAACGCCTTGCGCGAGGGGGCAACGCTCTATCCCCATACAAATGGCGATTGGCCCACGCGGCTGTATCCGCCATCTCCCGGCGGGCCAGGGCAGGGACGGGAGTC